CCAGCTCCTGCCTCCAGGTTCCTGCCCTGAGTTCCTACCTTGGGCTCCCTGATGAACTGCGTGCAACCTGGGAGATGTAAGACAAGTGGACCCTTTCCTCCCCAAGTTGGTATTGGTCAGAGTATTTTGTCACAGCAATGAAGAACAAACTAAGACACATGGTAAGCACTATACACTGAACCATTTTCCCAGGTCTCTCTCCTTAACTTTTTTTGACACCCCAGGGTCCTTAAGCTGACTTGTTTCCTTTCCACCAGGTGTTTAGGCCAATTCCTGCGGGGCAAGGTTCTGATAGGTCCAATTCAGGTGAGGTATCCAGCCACTAGCCAATCAGGTATGGGGAAAAAGGTCAAGTCATGGTCCGAACAGGGCTGCTCTGGGTTAGGGCCTGCGGACTAGCTGTGCGGAGAATGCGGGCTGGGCTCCGCTTTGGACTCTGTGGCTGCATTTTTCTCTCTGCTTCTTCTTACAGGAATTGAGATTATTTAGGCCATGTGGAGCCCCTCATTTATGCTGGCTAACTGTGATGTGCTGTCACAGTCGCCACATGTGGGAGTTCCACCTGAGCTGTGGAGAGAGGGGAGTCCCTGGAAGGGGGGCAGGCAACATCTGCCCCAACATGCCACAGCTGAAGTATCTTTTGCTTTCCTGGTTCAGGCCATTCATAGGGCCACTGCAGGTGAGGAAAACACAGGTTGTAGAGCAGCGTCTCCCCAGGAGGGCACTTTTCTCAGACAGTTTCTCTGGCAAACAGCAATCCTCCATGGTGCTTAGAAATACAAAGGTTCGGCAGGGTGGGTACAGTGGGCTGGAGAGCTGGCTCAGCAGTTAAGACCTGAACTAGGTTCTCAACACTCTTGGCTAGCTCACAATGGCCTGCAACTCCAGTTCCAGAGGGCTTTGACATCCTGACACCTCTAACCTCAGTGGCCACCAGCACTCACTACAATGTACACACACATTCTCAAACACACTCGCACAAAATTAAAAATAAATCTTAACCAGGCATGGTGGCACATGCCTTTATTCCCAGCACTCAGGAGGCAGAAGCAGGCAAATCTCTGAGATGGAGGTCAGCCTGGTCTACATAGTGAATTCCAGGCCAGCTGGGGCTATAGGGAGACTGTCTCAATCATATAGACAAATAAATATTTTTTAAAAAAGGTTGAGCTAAGCAAAGCATGAGCACACAGGTACAACCTCTCACACACACGAGCACACTTGTGTGCGCACACACGTACACAGAGTAGAAATAAACAAAAGGCTAATGTATTTTTTTTAATTGTTATGCTACAGCTCTTTCTGCAGCTGCCCCCCCATCCCTTTCCTTCGAGGACCACTTCTGCAGGCCATGGGGGACCAGGGGACAAAGCCAGAGGCCCACAGCCCTGATTGGGCCGTGCGGGAAGAGCAAGTCACAAGTACAAATTTATCACAACAATTAGCGCTGAAGTCTAGGAGGTCTGCAGCGTGAGGAGGCCCCAGCTCCTCTTTGTCAGCTGGTCTATTTGGCGGTGACCTTGCTCTGAAGGCGATGGTATTCCTTCAGTCTGCAAACCAGATGGAAAACAAAGAAAAATGTAATTTCACAATAACAACATGCGCCCTGTTCAATTAATTCAGGCAGGACGGGGCAATGGGGGCAGCTGTTTGTTAAGGTGTGTGTGTGTGAAGTTGTCTTTTTCTTCTTTTCCCTCACCCCCCCCGCCCCCCCACCCGGCTCCGCCAATCAGGATAATGTAATTAATTTATCTGAGGGGGAAACATTGTCATTGTTGTAGACAAAGCACTTAACTGGCGATGGTAGAAATGAAAAGACCATTATGAAACCCGGTGTGTTCTGCACCATTTAAAAGGGTTTATGGAGTTAGAAAACACAGGCAGAAGGGGCAGGAGGGGGAGGGGACAGCGAGGAGGGGCCCAGAAGGCTGGCTGCTGTGAGGTCCCTCCAGATCTGGGATGGCTCCAGGGATGAACCTGACTCAGCAGGATTGCCAGAGTCAGGAGACTGGCATTGTCTTCCTGACCACAGGCTGGATGAATCAGGAGTTGGCAAAGGAAAATCCAAAGATTGGACAGACAGGCTTTCCCAGCTCAGCAGCGCTGTTTCCTTCACATCTGTGTGACTCCAGGCAGGTCACTTAACCATTCTGGGCCTGTGTCTGGGAAACTGTAAATCTCTGTAAGAATTAAGGTAACCTAAGGGCAGGCAAGACGGATCGGTGGGTAACATTGCTTTCTGCCAAGTCTGAAGGCCTGTGTTTGATTCCTGGGACCCATGTGGTAGAAGGCAAGAACTGATCCCTGAAAATTATCCTCTGACCTTCACATGCAAGAGCTTGGGAGTGGCTTGATCCAGGGCAGCTGATGCAATGAATGACCTTGCTTGTCCTTGAGCACACTGACACCTGTGAGGCAGGACTACCTCACACCCTCCCTAGGCTTGGGAAAGAGCCCGAGACAATGGACAAGCAGCTAGCTAGCTCAGTCCAGGACTCAGCAGATGGACAGGAACATGGGGTGTGAACAAGCAGCATTCCATCAGAGCCTGCTGCCGAGGGCTGGGGGCCTACAAGGATGAGCAGGGCCCAGAGTCTTACCTGAGGGAGTTGATGTTGATGAAGCCGGTAGCATCAATGGGCTCGTAATCACCCTGCACATTCATGCTGTAAGGCAAGAGCAGAGTTTAGCCACACCCAGCCACTCTCCCTGCTGTGTTCCACCTGATTCTGGGAGCTGTTCTGAGCCAGCCTCCACCCTCAGCACAGGAGCTACCGGGGAGGTCAGCAACATTCACAGTAGAGTCCCACTGAGTCACTCTCCAACCACACAGATGCTATGGGGCCATCCTGGGACCTGGACACCCATGGTCTGACAGTACCTGTCACCTGCTGCTGGATTCAGCAGAGCTGGCTTCTCTCCTCCACCCTCCAGATGAACGTCACCCTCCACTCTTCTCCCAGCCCGGGACCTCCCTGTGATTGGGTTTACCAGCCCAGGGAGCCTCGGGAAGCACAGAGCTCTCCAGGGCTGAGCCTGTGCCTTTGGAATGCACACACCAGTGGCTCTCTCATCATTGTATAGGCTCACATGCAGTCATGCCCTGGCACATGACAAGTACTCACTGTGACTGACACCCAATTCATCCATTTATTCCTTAGGCATTTATTAAGCACCTATGACCTGTTGGGCCAGCCAGCTGGGGGCAGAGGGTACAAGACAAGACCGCATGATGCAGACACAGGGCCTCGCTAAGACCGGCATTCAGGGCCTGTGTCTTAAACACCCCTGGTTCACACCCTGCTCTTATTTAACCCATTGTCTTTACTCTTGCATAGCTCCAACCTTAGGACAAAGCAGTCTCAAGGTTCTTGATGACAAGGAGGTGGCCTGTCTCCTCAGGAGTCCTCTCCAAAGAGGTGAGACTGAGGAGATCCGGCACTGAGTGTGACTCTGAGGCCACCCTCTGGTCCTCTGGGAACTTTTATTCCCTCTTCCGTTTTTGGTGGTACTAGGGATTGAACCCAGGGTCCTGCACTTCGTAGGCAAGTATTCTACCATTTCCTGAGCCTCACCTCTGGCCCAACTGTGGGCCTTTTTACCAGAATAAATGAGCGCTGGTAATGATGGCATTCACCTGTAACCCCAGCATCAGGGAGGCAGAGGAAAAAGGATTCAAAGGTAGAGGCTAATTTGGGCTACACAGTTCCTCATCCCCCCATAAGGAACACATGGAGTGTTCCAGAGGGCCTTGAGCTATAACCTTGACCTTGGCCTTGAAGTCACCCCCAAGCTGTGCCTTCCATGACCTCTTTCCTGTCTCTCTTCCTCTCCTCTAAAGTTCCCTTAAAGGTTCAGGTGCTGACCAGTGACCAGCATGCTTTCTGCAGAGGAGACAAGGCTAGACTTGTACCGGGTGCCCCTTGCTGTGCCAAGGTGCTTAAGGCCCGCGCAGACCAGGCTATTCCCAATCTCTGCAATTCTGTTCAACAGAGCTTGCTCAGGATGTGTGCTTGTGGATGCTGGGAACACGTGAGGCTCAACACTCAACACTCCTACCCAAACCCTGTCATGCAGGCTCTGGAAACCCAGCCTCATTCTAACCTTCATCCCGCATCTTAGACACATCCTCATACTTAATTCTGGCAGGAGGCTGGCTGTTGGGTCCTTCATTTGCTGGGCCACAGGGTCCTCTCCTTCCTCCTCCAGGTCTTATACATCAAAGCAAACTCCCTAAATCCCTGTAATCCCAGTGCTGGCGGGGGAGGGTATACAGGCAGGAGGATCAGGAGCTCAAGGTCATCCTCAGCTACATACTGTACTTGAGGCCAGCCTGGGCTACAGTAGGAGAACCTTGTCTCAAACAACAACAACAACAACAACAACAACAACTCCCCCAGCCTGGTTCCCAAGACAGACAGATCCAGGAACTCCTGCAGCGCCGGCCCAGCAGGGTTAGTCCCGTCCCACTAGCCTGCCCAGAGTCCCGAGAGGTACTGCTCAGGAACGGAAAACCTCTTTTTTTTCAAATTGTGGTTTGGGGTGGGGGGTATAAAAGGAGTTTACAATGATTTTTTTTTACCTCCCCTGACGGTCTACAGAAAAACCTCTGTGCCGCTTTTATTTTTGCTCATTCGAGTGGCTCTGACCTGCTCTATAATTACGTTACTTTCTACCTACTGCGCCGCGGTATTTCCAGTTCTGCTACCTCTCGCGGCTTCCTCGCGGGTCCCTGTGACGCTGTCACTCAAGGGCTTTCAAGTCAGCGATGTAGAAATCAAAAAGAAAAGGGAAATGGTCGGAGACACAGTGAGAGTAAATGCTTCCGTTTTTTTCTCTTTTCCCCCCTTTCCCTTTTTACTTTATTCATTTAATCTCCCCGAGTGAGACTGTAAGGTTTAATGAAGGGTTGGGCAGATTATTAGAGGCTGTTGATTTGGAGGGGGAGGGAAGAAAGAGCCAGAGAGAGAGAGAGAGAAGATAATTTGACATTTACCCCGACTGATCTAAACTGATTCGGTTATATTTATGGCTTATAAAGTGCTTAGAAAGATTGAAGGTTGGGGGGGAACTCAACATGGCAAAGAGAAGGGAAGGAAAAAAAAATAATATTGACTGCCAAACAAAACTCGTACTTTAATTCCAACTGGTCCTGCGGAGGGCAGAGTGGGCCTTAGCCTGGGCCAGCTGGGGCTGGGGTCCCCCTCGGGTCAGGTGTTACCTGTCCCTATGGATCTGCCTCCACCCACAGCTTGGCCAAGTGACCTCCAGGGGAGATGCCTGGCTCCTGCGGGGGCAGACCCCCCACAGTCACTAGCAAATTCCGGATCTATATGGCCGATAGACTGAGCTGCTCCAGTCTGGCCAGCTCCCTGTCAGAGTTCCCACAGTGTCAGCCTGGTCCGTCCACAAGGAAGCTTCTTGAGATCCCCTGCTGCCTCCCTCTGCCCTTGGTGGTCTCTGCTGTCCATGGCCTCATACAACAACAGGCCCGAGACCCTTGCAATGCCTCCTCCATTCCCCATTCATGTGCCTCGAATCAGACTAGATGGTTCTCCTGGGCTATCTCAGAGAAGACCCATCTTCAAGTGCCTATACCCATATCTGGGGTGTGATTCAGTGGCAGAGCACTTACTTAATGGGCATGAGGCTTGAGTTTTACCTGTAACATGGAGGGAAAACACAGCCTTCCCTCTCAGTGATTGATGCCCATGTCTCCACATCACCCAGGGTGTTCCTGCACCCTACAATCCCCCACAGCCAAGCTCTTCCAGCACAACTCCTGAAGACATGTTAACTCAATCTGCTTTTCTCTCACTTGAAATCATCAACCCAGTCCAACCTGCCAGCACTTCTCACTGGCTCCCTCATGACCCCCGCCCCCAGTGTCTACCTTCCTCAGTGTATACTCTACTCTCCAGAGGAGCCATGAAGACTCACTAAGACCACAGACCTGATCTTACCTGTCTCTTTACAATCTGGCTCAGTCTCTACACCCAAGTCACTTAGTTTCCTTTCTCTCTGGTATCTTTGTAATACCTGGTGTCTTTCAAGTCCTTTCCAGGCTCAGAACTTCTGAACCTGAGGTGCTGACCCTAGGAGCCCCCAAACCTACCAAGTTATCTCCTGGCAAGCAAGATATTTTACAGGTCCAACTTTTATACCTAGCCAGATTATCCTACCCTTTCTCCTAAACCCATAACTATCATCTTCTAACCCAACAGCTTAGCTCTCCTAATTCCACAAATCTTCCTTCCTTCCTTCCTTCCTTCCTTCCTTCCTTCCTCCCTCCCTCCCTCCCTCCCTCCCTCCTTCCAACCTGACACTGTTTCATGTGGCCCAGGCTAAATCACTATGTAGCAGAAAATGATCTTGAACTTCTGATCTCCTGGAATTGCAGGTGTGCATCACCACACCTGGTTTATACAGGTGGACAGCATTGGACTGGACCTAGGGTAAGCACTCTGCCAACTGATCCACAGCCCTGGCTCCCAGCTATCATTTGATAAATGCCTCTCTTCCCAGCTGATCTGTAAGTTCCAGGAGGCAGATATGAGTCCTTTATAACCATCTCCCTGGTCCCCACTCAGCATTTGACACACGTTCAGTAATGATGTGTTGGGAAAGCTACTCAGACCAGACTCTGGGTGGGATAAGGTATGGGATACTCACCTCACCAGCTCCTCATTGTACAGCGAGAGTGGGGACTCCCGGCCAAGGATGTACACTTGGCCCTTGAAGACAGACACCTGCACCTTCCCCTCCACACGCTCCTGGGACTTGGCGATGCAATGGCGGACAAATTCACACTCGGGGCTGTGCCAGAAACCTGCAGGAAGGAAATGGTAAGGGCACACAGTGGCCCTGGAGGGCACACCAGGCCTAACCCTATGGTGGCCTGGGACTTGGGTCTGCCTTACTCACTTGTGAGCTCTGGCACGATGCCCCCTTAGGAATGAGAAGAACCCACCCTATGTCCCTGTCAGTGTCTTACAAGGGGTGTGTGTGTTCGGAGGTGGCTTCCTTGTCCCTGAAAGGCAGTTGCTGCATAAGGGTGAGGAGAAAGAGGGGCATCCTTGCTTTAGGCACAGACATCCACAGTGTCATAGGCCAGGCTTGAGGGCACAGGAGTCATAGAGGGACCCAGGCCTGGCCCATGAGGGCTGCATTTTGCTGGAGGAAGGTGGGAGACCTCAGATAGGACACAGAGGCACATGTGTGGGGCTGAGCAATGTGGGTACCCATGACAGTCAGTTGGGTGGTAGTTTGGGGTCGGGCAGACCATGGGGCCTCTGTAGCCTTCAGCTACCTATACCTGTTTCCCCACCTACAGAGTAGGGATGGTGAAGTAGTAATGCATGTGGAGCCCCCACTCAGAACAAGCAGTAGGCGTGTTCTCTTTGCACTGTAAATGCTTTCGAAAGCACATCAAATTGTTTCACAGGCATCAACACAGGGCCTTGCTAACTACTTACCAGCTCCTCAAAAACAGCCCGAGTGTTCTAGGGGAGGGAATCAGGCTCAGGGGAGCAAGCAGCTCGTCCAGACTTGATATGGTGCTGGAATCTGGCTGGGTAGTACTAACTCTGCTTCCTGTGATAATCAGGAGCTTTCCTCTCTGTGACCAGAACACTCTGGAGCAGCATGCCACCTCCCACCAGAGCTCTAATGGTCAGGGAGGGGAAGGTGCTCAGTCCCTCTGCCCTGGGACAGCTGCTGCCTCGGGAGAGACAAGGGGGGACCAGGACCAAGGGCAGCAGGTGGCCCCCAGGAGGGGCAGGCCAGGCGCAAGTTTTCTGAAATGGAGCTGGGAAGGTGAGCCCACCTGGGCAGCTGTGAGGCCAGATGGCCGAGATTGCCTGCCTTGATAAAGGCCTGGGTCAGCCAGTGCCCACATATTGTTGGAGGCCTAGAAGGGGCACAGTGGGAAAATGGTAGGCCTACTCTAGGATGGGGAGGCTATGGCTTACACAGGTGGGGGAGGGCAAGGGACTGTCTGGCCATGTTTCTACCCTGATATACCCTGATACTCCTCCCTAAGACTGTTTCTTCATGCGCATGGCAAGACATAGTTACCTAACTGTTGTCCATGGGTGTGTGGGTTCAATGTGCATTTAGCTTTGTGGCTGCAAGACTGTCTTCTGACAGCCTCTCACTGTATACAGGGAGGCAGGTCCAGAGAGGTTAAGAACCTATCCAAACTCACACAGCAGGACCATGGCAGAATCCAGGAACTTTTCCAACATACCACTGGATCCTGTGGGAGGGGACACCAGAGCCCCTCACCCCCAGGTCTCTGTCTAACCCTCTGTTTTCTTTTTCAGTTGGGATAATTACTCCATTAAGCTCCTAGGCTGGAAGGCAGGTGGAGATGACGCGGAAGATAAGGACAACGATCAGCAGGGAGCTCTGGCTTTATCTCTCCATCTCTGACCTTCAGCCCACAGGGGTCTTTGGCTTAAGTTTCTTTGACCAGTAATCCCAGCCAGAATGGGGACAGCAAGCCTGGCTTCAGTGGCACAGGGAAACCCTGAATGCCCAGGCTTGTGATACACTGTGGGCAGGGACTGTGGCTGAGCTGCAGAGGGCTCCCCTCCCCCAGGCCTAGCCAGGCACAGGGCATACAAGTTTTTTTTGTTTGTTTGTTTGTTTTTCCTAATGGGGTGTACTCTCTGTTAAGGTTGTGCATTATATACTTTTCAGGGTTGGGGAAACAAAGCCTAGGGGACAGGAGGTGAGCTCCAAGTGAGAAAGTCCATTGGAGCTGGGCGTGGTGGCGCACACCTTTAATCTCAGCACCCAGGAGGCAGAGGTAGTAGGATCTCTGTGAGTTCAAAGCCAACCTGGTCTACATAGAGAGTTCCAGGCCAGTTGGGGCTACAGGGAGACCCTGTCTCAAAAAACAAACACCATCTCCAAACTGAACAAAGAAAGGAAACTTGTCACGCCCCTGTAGGGTCCGAAAGCTGAACTCCTTCCAGGCTGACTTAGAAGGGGTTTCCCCAAACCCAGTAGGGGCATCTGGAAATGGGGATGATGAGGAGATATAGCCAGGCACACAGAGATAGGGACGTAGCGGTTCCCAAAGTCTGTGAAACTAAGAGTAGTCTTCCCATGCCTCAGTCTCCCCATCTGTGCTGGGACCATAGAAAGGCTGGTAAAGGCTAGAGTCACGGGCTGTGAACTGGAGAAGCTAGATGCGGGGGGGGGGCGCAAAGAGACGCCAGCATGCCTGGCACCTTTTAAATTTACAGGAGGAGAAACTGAGGCTCAAGGAGGAAACAAACTTACCCAAGATCATAAACCCAACCAGAGGCAAGCCCCCACACTTAGAAATCACAACACTCCTTTAGTTATTTAGCACCTGCTGGCTCTTTTATCCACACCTTGACCCTCAGAGATGTGAAGTGGGTAGAATGACCATTTCCCCCCTTCAAATTCGAAGGCCAAGGTGTAGGGAGGGTGAGTGTCAGGCTCTGACTAAGCCAGGTCTATAGCGTGTCTCCTGGTGAGGAACCACATTAAACAGCACACCTGGGCTGTTGGGGAACAGGCTGCCAGAGTTGGCTTTGACCTCTGTAGACGCTTAGACATCACAGAACCCAGGCAGAGTTAATACTAGCAATAGCAAGTGTGGTAAGCCTTGTTCCCTGCCTGGTTCCTCTCTCCACTCTGAGGTTTTGTTTCCTTTGAAATTTCCTAATCACTTGCTTCATTTTGAGATTTACAAGGCTTGGTGCTGGCTGACAGAACAGGGACTCAACCCAGGCACTGTGCCCACAGCTAGGGACAGAGCCATGCCCAGGCACCCCTGAACTACCACCCCTCATTAACAAGGCTGGACCTGTGAAAGTCACCTTGAATGTGGCCTTTGAAGCCTGCTTGTCCCTGACACAGACACTGTAAATCATGAGGTCTGGATCCTTCAGCTAAGACCCTTTGCCTGCCTGGGCCTGTTTTCCCATCTCTGTACAGCTAAGGTTAAATAATACCCATCAGGTTTCTAGCAGCAAGAGAGAAGATTAAGTGGTAGATGTTGACACTGGGACATGGAAGTCCTCTGCCTGTCCCCTGCATGTCCCTCAGGCACTCCTCCTGGGCACTGAGGCCAGGTGCTCTCTGTTCTTCCCCTATACCCTGCCATGCCTTAATGACAATCCCATTTTGTAACCAAAATCCACCTTTTAGCTCTGAAATCCAGCAGAGTCCGCAGGAAACAATGGTATTTAAACACCTGTTCTTTACCTGGCAAGGGGGTGGGGGGCTGGGCTTCAAAGTTGCTGGGAAGGATGGCAGGGAGATGGGATGGCAGCCAATAGCCAGCATGCTCTCCTGAGACCCTGGGCTGAGCTCCAAGGGCCTGAGAGAGTGGGGATGGGGACAGGCATGGGCAGAAGGCTCAGCCAGGTGGCGATCGCTGATACATTCCAACCAGATACCCAGATTCTAGCTTCAGAGCTGCCAAGGTGGGCTTCAGGCAGCAGCCTGCCCCCCAAGAGCACCCCTTAAGAGGCTGCCTGATGGAATCCTCCAAATCAGGGCCATGGCTGTCTCCCTGGAACTATTTATGAATACTGAAATTTGAATTTCATAAAATTTTCATGTGTCATGAAAGTTGTCTTTTTCTTCTCCAACCATTAAAAAGTTAGAAAACAAACACCAAAAATCACCCAAAATTCTTAGCTTATGAGTTGACCCAAAACAGGCATGATTCTTCACAAGTTGAACAAAAATGGGCAATAGGCTGGATCTGTCCCAGGACTTCCGGTTCATTCCCACCAGGAAGATTGCCATGGGGGTGGGGGGTCAGGAGGCCTGGATCCTAACTCAGTGACAAAGGGCATGAAACTGTCTGTCACTAATGTCACCTGCTCATCCCACATGTAGGCTCAGCAAGAAGCCCCCTGAGTGGTTCCGAGTAGCTCCAGGTTCTGCCTAGGGACAGGCTAACCTGGGTCCAATCCAGTGAGTCCCCTTCTGGCTATATACATTTGAACAGCACCTGCCCCCTGTCCCCAACTTCAGCCCCCATTTCTTTATCTGTAAAATGAGCTGCAGACTTCCTGGGAGATTTGTAGGGACTCAGTGGGATGTTAGGAGTCCTATATCACATCCAGTATCTGCTGGACACAGGCTGACTGCCCCTGGGATGAACCACGGTGCTTCCCTGACCTTGTATGGACGTGGCTGAAGAGCTCTGGAGGCTGGGGTGTCTCCTTTGATACCAGTGGACATTCCAGGCTCAGTGTCTTCTCCTTTCTCTCCTGCCCAACCTCAAACCTGCTTCACCTGCACCTCTGGAGGCTGACAGAGATGATGGTGGGTGGGGCGAGATGGGAAGCGGGTACAGTTGATAGAAAGCAAAGTCTGAGCCCTAGGGAATGGGGTGTGTGTGTGCGTGTGTGTGCTGTTGTAGACAGCTGTGCTTCGTACATACCGGTGTACACGAGCTCTGCGAATTTGAGGCCGAGGCCCTGCTTGATTTTGCGTACTTCCCGATCCATGGTGAAGGCCTCGATGTCTAAATGAGCGTGGTAAAGGATGGTCCCTGCTGGGGTCTCGTAGATACCTAGCCATTTTTCCAGGCAGGGGGAGAAGGAGAAAAAAGAGAGAAACACATGAAACCCAAACTGCCAGCAAATGACAAAAAAAAAAAAAAATAATAATGACTCGTCTGACAGGAGACAAGCCAGTCGGACCCATTCACTCCCAGCTTGCTGCAAAATGCGCCTGTCATTATGTTCATGCTGGGGCCACGACAGTCCACTCTGCGGCTTGTGGAGAAAATGTCTAGATGCCCCCCTTTGAAGAGGCCCTCAGACGCAGGAAAATGACAGGGTTTCTGAGCAGTGCCCCCTCCCCAGTGCATGCTCACCGGCCTGCGGCTGAAAACCTGTAATTAAACCAACTATGGTGGAGCCCAGGGCCCCAAATATCCTTTCCTCCCTTCCACCAGGGAGCCAAGGGAGGGGGATGGTCATGCACACACACACACACACGCACACACACACGCACATGTGTGCATACACATGGCACTAACAGCTGTGTCTTTCTAGAGGCTGCTGGGATGGTATAGGGCTTGAGCAATGGCCCCATTACACAGATGGAGAAGCTGAGCCCCTGAGAGAGGGCTTGCAGGAGAAGGGTCTGGAATGGAATCCAGGAGTCCTTGAGCATCACCATCTGCTGTCCTGTGGGTCAGCTGGTTACAGAGGGCCAAACTGATGCCAGGAGAGAGGAGCTTGCTCAAGTCTCCTCCTGTGGCTCACCCAGTTCGCCTATTTGCAAGATAAGCTTCTTGGGCTAGATGGTCTCTGTAGTGACATGGATGATACCCTTAGCAGCACCATGCTCTATCCGAGGGCACAGTGCACCAGGAGGCAGGACTGTGCTCAGTGGGCCCAGACAGCCTCCTGGCCTTTAAGCACTGCCCCAGTGGGCGTGGGCAGCAGTCCTCTCTCCTGGAATTCCACCCTAAAGCTTCCTGTTTCCTGCACATGATACTGAAGAGGCAGTTTTTCAATCATCCTGACAACTTGCCACCAGCTTCTACATTTAAAAACCCAGAAAGGCTTTACACACACACACACACACACACACACACACACACACACACACACGCCACATGCACACACACACAGTGGCACTGTTCACAAAAGTCCAAAGTAAAAGTGACTCAGGCGTCTCCTGAGAGGGCAGTGTGACCCAGCTACACGGCATCATGCTATGTAAAAGGGCACAGCTGTAACCCCAACACTCTGGAGGCTGAGGCAGGATCACAAATTCAAGGCCAGCCTGGGCTCCATAAGGAGACCTTGTCTCACAAACCAAACAACCAGGGCTAGGGATGTAGCTCAGGTGGTAGAGTGCTGCCCAGCACACATGAGGCCCCAAGTTCCATCCCCGACGCCACATAAACTGGCACAGTGGCACATAACTGCAGTCTCAGCGCTTGGGAAGTAGAAGCAGGAGGATCAGAAGTTCAAGGTCATCATCAGCTACATAGCATGTTCAAGGCCAGTCTGGGATGCAGGAAATCCTGTCACAAACAAACAATTCTGACAAATGAAATAAGCCCATTATAACCCTGTGTGATTCTACTTCCACTGTATAAAAAGGGTGGCTACTGAGGATGGCAAGGGGACGGGGGCAAAGTTCCAATTTGGGAAGAAGAAAGAGTTCTATGGGAGGAGGGTGGTGATAATGTGCTGGCATCACGGGGTTACGCACTCACAGTTAAAATGGGAGATTGATGCTTTGCACATTGTACCACAGTTTTTTTTAATTTTTAAAAATTGTATGTGTATCAATGTATTGCCTGCATGGATGTAAGTGCACCCGTGTCATGCAATGCCTGAGGAGGTCAGAAGAGGGCATCAGATTCCCCTGGAACTGGAGTTATAGATGGTTGTTAGTCACCATGTGGGTGCTAGGAATTGAACCCAGGTCCTCTACAAGAGCAGCCAGTGTTCTTAACCACTGAGCCATCTCTCCAGCCCCTTATCATAGTTTTAAAATGCTTTATAGGTGCCAACAAGATGTAAAGGTGGTAAAGGCACCTGCCATCAAGCCTGATGACCTGCGTCATCAAGCCTGATGACCTTCCATATGGTGGAAGTAAAGAACCAACTCCCACAAGCTGTCCTTGGACCTCTATATAAGCACCACCACCACCACCACCACCACACACACACACACACACACACACACACACTAAAATGTAATAATTTTAAAAGCTTTACAGCCAAGATTTCAACTCTGGAGACCAAAGGGGACATCAGGAAGTATGTCAGATGGGCTTTTCTTGAGTCTAGGAGTTTCCTCCTCTGAGAATCCACCCCCTTCCCCCCAGTTTTTTTTTGTGGTTTACTTGCTCCCCCCCTTTTTTTGATCTTTTTGAGACAGGGTCTCCCTGTAGCCACAGCTGACTTGGAACTCACTATGTAGGCCAGGCTGGCCTTGAACTCACAATCCTCCTGCTTCTGCTTCCTGAGTGCTGGGCTTATAGATAATAGGCCATTGGGACCACTCCCAGCCTTCTTTGGGCTTTGATCTCCTTTTTTCTTTTTCCTTTTTTTTTGAGACAGGTTCACTCTTCAGTCCAGGTCGGATTCAAACTCTTACTCTTCCTAACTCAGCCTGGGTTTACAGGTGTGCATGTGGTGGCTAGGTTTTAAAATATTTATTTATTTACTTATTTGTGTTATTTGTGTGTGTATATGTGTGCCATGGCATGCATTCAGAATTTGGAGGACAACTTTGTGGAACTGATTCTCTCCTTCCACTTAAATGTAAGTTCTGGAGATGGAACTTAGGTCACCAGATCATCGCTGGGACAACAGGTGAGTGTCTTTACCCACAGAGTCATCGCACAGACCCCAATGGCTTCAAAGTCTAGGACTCTCACAAGGGAAAAACTCTTTAACTCAATCCTATGCTGTACTCTGAGTGGAAGCTGCTAACCTAGCACTACAGTTCGTGTGGGCAGAGGCCAGCACAGAGAGACTGGGGCCCCTTTGCTAACCCTTGGTACCACTCAGAGTTCTCAGATCTCTGAACTGGACCAATAACCAATTTTACAGGTGGGAAGACTGAGACCCTGGGAGACAGTGACATGCCCAAGGCTACCATGCCAGTCAGCGTGAAAGAGGGCTAGTACCTGTGGTCCCTCATCTTAGCTCCAGGTCACCTCTCAGGGCCTTTTTCAAGTGATCCAGCATTCACCAGAGCATAAGAAAGCACCCAGGTCTGGGGTCTCAGGAAACATTTGTGTAAAACCCCCACAGAGCACAGATACTTGGTACTACAGCAGAGCTATCTCAGGGCCCTGGAGATGGTGCAGTGGGTAAAGTCCCTGCCACATAAGCACAGGGACCTGAGTTCAGATTCCCAGCTCTCATGTAAAAGTCATACATTGTAGAGACAGGGACAGGAGGATCCCTAGAGTTTGCTAGCCAGTCAGTCTAGACAAAACAGTGAGCTCCAGGTTCAGCAAGACTCTGTCACAAAAAATAAGGTAGATAGAAATCGAAAAACACACCTGATCTCTGGTCTCCACACACGCATACACACACGTAAATGCACCTATACAGGCATGCAAACACACATATAAATACCACATACCACACACAGAGAGAAAGAACTATCCTATTGCGCCTTTGGGGGCACTGTGCAATCTCCACCTCCTTGAATTTGTTGATTTCCTTCCCGTGGAAGATCCAACTCCACCCCTCCATATCGTCAAGCTTGTGCACAAGGTCCAAACATTCAGTCCCCGAGCCTCATCATCAAATAAACTTCAGTAGGGCAGAAATTTAGACACTGCTGACAGCTAAGAGCAGGGCCTATTGGCACATGCCTGTAATACCAGCTCTAAGTGGAGGACTGCTGTCAGACCAGCCTGGGCTGTAGAGCAAGACACTGCCTCAGACAAACGCAGCAAAAAGGGCTGGGATATAGTTCAGTTTTAGAGGGCTTGCTGGGTTCAAGTCTCAATACCAACAAAAACAAAACAAAACAAAGAACCCCAAACCTCCCAAACAAATCTAGAGTCTTTGAGCTGGGTGTGGTGTCCCACATACATGACACAAGCACTTGGGAGGTTGGGAGGTAGGGGCAGGAGGGTCAGGAGTTCAAGGCCAGCTTTGGCTACATATAGAGAATTGGAAGCCAGCCTGGGCTATCTGAGATTGTCTCACCCCCCCCACCCCCCATCACCACCAAAACCAAACCAAACAAACCCAATAATGAAAGCACAAAACGGCTGGATGTGCTGACACACACCTTTAATCCCAGAACTGAGGAAGCAGAGATAGGCAGATTGCTGTGAGCTAGAGGTCAGTCTGGTCCACATAGTAGGTTCCAGGCCAGCTGGGGCCACAGGGAGACCCTGTGTCAACCAAAACTCAGCATGGAAGTTGAGGCCACTCCTTGGGGCAGGCTGGCTCTACCTACCAGTGTCTTTTGAAGGCCCCAAGTCACAGAAGGGCCCAGTGCCACAACAGGCATAAAATAGGGGTCAAGGGAAAGTTTTCGAAAACCCTGGACAAAGCAATTTTCCATGAGGCACAGCAGGAGTCTGTGGATCATCTAATCTAGACACAAACGAAGAGCTTACACTAACTGAGACAGCGACAGGCCTTCTAGATGCTTTGGAAAAGCCAGTCCTTAACGTTAACCACAGACAGGCAGCAGCACCCTCCTGCACAGGCCAACAACATGAACACACTGCGTTTTCAACTCCTGGGAACCTATCTGCCCTCTGTGCATTCCTTGCCGGAGCTGGGCCAGCTTGGGACACAGGCCAAGCTGCGTGTAACTAGGACCACAACGTTTGCTTTCACAGCCAGGACTCAACTTGGCTTTACAGTGAGAACTTGGGCCTCTTAGCACCCTCTCTGAGCCCAGCCAGGGGAAAAGGAAGTTGCTAAGTGTCTGCAGCGCTCATATCCTACCTTTCTCTGACACCCATCCACAGGGCGAACGTCTAGATTGATTCACAACCTGTGCCTGTACCTCGAAAAACTCTACAGACCGCTTTGACAGCTTCATTTCCTGACAGTTCGGGAAGAGGTGGTATCCAGGTTTCAAGAAAGAGCTATGACCTGCTCAAGGCCCCTCAGCTACTGTTCACTTTGGGTGTCCTCTAGGAGAATGAGGCCAAGTGCCACCAGGAGCAGAGTGGGTGGAGGGATGGGCAGAGCCCACCTCCTCCAGAGCTCTCAGAACCAGCCCCAGCATTGTCAGTCGGCTTCCAGAAGGTTCCGGGCAAAGTTCAAGCCATGAGATATGCACAATTAATTTTCCCAGTTCCATTTTAGGCAGTGTTAAAGTTAATTGTGACTTATCAAATGGCCCATTTTTAGCTCTTGGGTGCATGCATGCTTATGTGGGAGGTGTGTGCGTGTGCATGTGTGTGTGTGTGTGTGTGTGTGTGTGTGTGTGTGAGGCATATGTGTTTGAGTGTGTGTGTGTGTGTGTGTGTATCTTAAAGCTCTTCCCTCTCCACAGGGGTAGGGAGTATAGATGTTTTCTGCGTATTTCTCTAGGAAAAAAATGACTTAAAAAAAAATCAGTGACAGAAATCTGATGCTAAAAGACTATGGATTTGGGGCTTTTGACAGTCGGCATACAAACCACTGCGCAAAGAGGAGGAAATGACAGCTAAGCTGGCTGCCTCGGAATAGACAACAGACATCTTCGGAGTGACACACACCGCGGCTCCAAGTGTCTATTTTCATCTCCCCGTGTTTACGGGAAAGACAGAGGTGTCAGCAGCCCTCTGCAGAGCGGCTTCAATCACACCCTAATTACCGCCAGGGAGGGGGTGGTGGGGAGGCCAAGGAGCTGGGGTGGCGGAGGGGGAGAGTGGACCAAGAGGAAGAGGTGGGGACCAACCACGCAACTGCTGCGCTGAGGCTTAAATTTTCGTCTGTTCCCAGGCTGCCAGGTCGGCCTCGGCTGAGCAATTTTGAACTGAGTGGACTCAGCCAAGCCCGCAGGAGTCAGGCTGGGGTTAGGGCACTTGAATCGGAGGCTCTGCCATTTGGGAGGGGATTTGGGAAGAGGGGAGGAGGAGAGGGGTGAGGTTGGCTGGAGCTCCAGGGCTCCCTTCTTGGGTACCAGGACCAAGGCTGGAGGTGGTTGCCATGGTGATGGAAGGCCAGTTAGGATGGACGTCTAAGTCATCCTCTAGGCTCCTGGGGCCCAGCTGGCCCATCCTGGGGATCAGGGTAGGTATCCGTGGGACTGAGGACCCCCCATCCCCCTCCACTCGCTATCTAGAATGTTCCATACAAGCAGAGTCTCTGGGAGGGCTGGATAGGTGGGTGGGGTAGGCTAGGTAAGTGGGCAAGCCAACCTGCTACTCTCTTGCAAATGAAATGGGAGGGGCAGGTGGGAGAGTGATGTGAGGGTAGAGGTTTGGGAAGAGGAGATAGCCGAACTGAGGAGGGGTGTGCAGAAGTGGGAGACCAGCAGAGAGAGGACAGAGAGGAAAAGCCAGAGTTGGGGCAGAGGAGGCCAGGCAGGACAGCACTGGAAATCCGGCCAGAGAAGTGTGAGCAGGCAAAGGATGGGCGGACACAACCAGGCGGCTGGGCTCGTTCTCCTTCCCAGGCTTCCTCCTGCCTGCCTCCCCCTTTTCCTCCCCACTGATTTCATTTACTTCACTTAATTAGCCCCCCTCCAGAGTTAAAAAGATAATGTGATAACGAGGATGTGAACAGCCACAATACAGCAAAGCCATTCCATCTGCAGCTCCCGCAGCCGTCAGTCCCTGACCCTATAGCCGCCCCCAAGCGCCCGCTGGCCAGGCCACCCAGACCCAGGGTCCTGGTGCTGCCCAACTCCCCACTTTCCTGCCCCCTGAGGAAAAAGCAAGCCCTTAATGAATGTCAATTACAAGCTTTGTAAAATCAATACAAATGACATTTCCCCTTGTATACCCAGATCTGGAACACTGTGTCTTCCAACTCTGCCCTCCACATAAGTGATGATTGACAGCCTTCCCGCCACTGTACACCTAATAAACTCCTCAAGGTCATTCACCGTCTCTGTTCTTGTTATCTTACAGAGAAATGTTTAGAGTGGAGAAATAAAAACAGGGTACTACCCTAAAATTACCAAGCAGGCTGACCTTCTTAGGAAGGGTGGCATCTCAGAGAGGGAAAGCCATTTGTATAGGTCACACAGCAGTTTCCCTCACCAATGACTAAGAAATCCTGTGCTTCTAGAGATAGCTGCCCAGAGGTAGACACACAATACATGGGCAGAGTGAGGACTTTCCAGGCTCCTCTGTGGGTGATGAGGAGTCAATGGCATTGGGATACTTGGTCTCACAGTGTAGCCCTTCTAACAAGATGAAGCCAGTTCTGGATCAAGGAGGTCAGTCCACTTCCTAGACATGGAACCTCAACCCATTTCACAGGTAAAGAAGTCAAGGCTCAGGGAAGCCAAGCTGATTCCTGATGATGATGGAATCAGGGTCAGGACTCAGGCTGGGCACCAAAGTGACCCTCAGTATTAGGTCTCCATCAGAAGATACCCAATACCACCACCAGGCCTGTCTCTTTCTAGCCTCTCTTTCCAACCCGTAGTTGGGGCCTATTCCACCAAGTCCTCCAGGCTGTCTTCCTTGACTAGGTGGTTCATCACCACCTCCTTTGGCACATTTTTGCTCCCCTATTCAGCAGGGTGCCATTTAAGATTTGGGATGGGTCAGGTCAGCCCTTATCTTCTTAGCAAGGGAAGTCAGCAACAATCTTGGTTGTAATCATCCTGATGGATTGGCAGTAACTTCGAGCAACACTCAGTTGCATCTGGATTCAATAGAATAGTGCTGCAATGATTAGTGATGCCTGCCTCGGGCATAGGCAGAGTATGATGATTGGTTTCTGATACACCTGAGCTGTACTGGGACCCAGAGAGTCCAGTGCTCACCCAGCACTTCCCTGGGAAATGACGGCCATTCACTGGGATCTGTCTCTCTCCAGAGCCGAGGCTCCTAGGCCTCTTCCTCATGCCTCCTGAGCGGGGGACTGTCAGCCTGAGTTCTGTCACTCATGTGCCTGGCACTTGTAGCGAGTCCTTGCCTCGCCAGAGCCCTTGGTGTCCCCATCTATAAAATGAGGTGTAGGTCTCTCCCAAGGTCCCCCAGCAGCTGCCTTAGAGAAATTCCATTGTGTGGCTCTCAAGGGCAGGTAGAGACAAAGAAACATTTAATCAGATGTTAAATAGGTAAGAGACAAAGGTAAGCCGGGATAAAAGGAACAGCTAATTAGAGCACTGTTCATCAAAAGGCTCTCCTTAGAGAGCTTTGGGTTGATTCACACAGATAATAAATGTGGGGAGAGAAAAACCCTGGAAAGAGGCAACTGGCAGCTCCAACCCCTCCTCGTCCCCACCCCCAGGGTCAGAGGCAGACTGTCCCTCTGAGACTGACCCAGGAACACTTGGGGAAACCAAGACCCAGAGACACAAGTCCAAGCTCAGGGATCAAGATCCTGGACCCACATTTTCTCTAGCAGCTGACGTCTGCCCATCAGCTTCAGAACTGGGATCTCGATAAAAATGTCCCCTAGGACCAAAGCTGAGGCTGAACATTGGCCTGGTTTTATCCAGCCGTGTTATTCTTTTCCAGTCTGCCCAGAAGCAAAGTATTAGAACATCTGCCAGAACAGGGGTGGGAAGTGGTGACTGGTATTTAAACGTTTAGGGACCCAAACTGCTGAGGATAGTCCTCTAAAAACACTGAGGCATTGATTTAATACACATGTGGTGACCCACAGGGACCTGGGATGGGGACGTTGGGTAGATGGGTAAACTGAGGAGAGTACAGCCAGTGAAATGGCACATGACTGACAGAAGGAATCATGAGAAGACAGAGGCAGGTGCCTGGGGACCAACGCAGCATACCCTGGAACTAACTAGCCATTTATCAGCAGGTGGGGATCTAATGATCCCACGCTGGCAGCCTAGGCCAGCCAAAGAAAGGTAAAGCCCATCTGTCCCAGGAAAAAGGGCCTTGAAAGCATGCCTGACACAGCCAGCCTTGACCTGTTCAGTTTCCTGTGCAGGGGATAGTCTTGTCCATGAACACCCCATTGATTCCCCCCGCCCAGGAACTCCGCCCTGCCTGCTTGGTGCTAGAAAGGCGCCTTAATGACCACGAAATTAGCCCTGCACGGTCAGCCTCCTGACCTGGCTGGCCCGCCCCATGACACGAGAGAGGCTGACCTCCAGGCCTCCCCTCTTTCCCAGGCCCCTTCCAACTCTAGGGCCAGCTCCTCTCCCAGTACCCTGGGATGTCAAGGGCAAAGGCTGCTGTCTCCACTTCACTGGGGTGGGGGTCAGGGGAAGAAGGGGAAGTTGCAATGGTGTGAGGTAAAGGGACTTGCTTGGGGTCATCTACACAGCATAGGATGATGGCGTCAAAATGGGACAGGGGTCTCTGGAGGTGCCAAGGCAGGCTCCCCAGGGCTACAGAGCCCACTCACCCCGGGACTTCATTCCAATGAAGCGGTTCTCCACAATGTCGATACGGCCCACTCCATGCTTGCCCCTGGGGAGGAAAAGTTCACTTGGATTCAGATGCTTTCCCAAGGCTTGGGGACATCGGCCAACCATTGAGCCAGGCTCGGGACTGTATGCTGCTGCTGGTGGCTTTGGCTTGGCTACAGAGCTACCTGTGTGGGTACTGGCTGTCTCAGGCTCTAAGACTCAGCTTAGAGTCTTCCTTTAGCTCTCTCCTGGGATCCGCCTGGCCAAGCCCTCACTAAGCTCATCTCCCCTTTATATCCTGGGGCCCCAGCTGGACTGACCCTAGGAGGCAGTAGATGCCCTGGGGTTTTTATCTTCAGGGACTGTGGGGTATTATTTGGTTGATTGACTGATTAATTGATTGGTCTTTTTGAGACAGAGTCTCCCTGTAGCCCCGGCTGGTCTGGAATTCACTATGTAGCCCAGGCTGGCCTCGATCTCACAAGCCATGCCCAGTAGGTTTTTCATTTTGGGTTTTTATTTATATTTTTGTGGAGGTGCACATGCATGCTACAGTCACATGTGTGTGCATACGTGTGTGTGTGTGTGTGTGTGTGTAGGTCAGAGGACATCTTGTGGGAGCTGGTTCTCTTTCTCAAGTGAGTTCTAGAGACAGAACTCAGGTCATCAGGCTTGGCAGAAAATGCCTTTACCCACTGAGCCATCTCACCAGCTCATGCTTTGGGGTTTATATAGGGACCTTGAGGACTTTCCTGCCAAACCAACTCCCTTGATCCAGGAGACTCTGTGCCTACAGGGACAAGACAGAGCCTGTCTTTCTGGCCCTGAACCTCAGTTGTGACCATTAGTCACAACGATCCAAATCAGTGCTTTCCCAAGGTAGGTGGTAGTCCTGGAAGGCCAGGCAGGCTGTGGACACTCACGCGACTTCATTCAGGTACAAGAAGAGTTCCAAGGAGGTGTGGTGGGTGGTGCCATCCTTGACATTGGTCACTTTCACTGGGACCCCTAGGGCAGAAAGAGAGGGCAGGAGGCCTCTGGGCTGGGGTTCAGCAGAACAGCCTGTGCCCAGCACCCCGCCCTCTCCCTCCACCCGCAACGCCTTAAATGGATGTGACAGATATGGAGTCCGAATGACTCCTTCAAAGCCCTGTGCTGGGGGGAGCGAATGGGCGCGAAAGCCCCCCAGAATGAAAGGGAAAAACGCAATAAAAACGCTTACCCCCACCCTCCTATTCTCTCTGTCCCTTTAGCATTTAGGGGCTGTGAAATTGGAACCAGGCCCTGAACTAATTGAATTTCACGCTCCACCATTGTCTTACCAAGGAGCGCCTTCTGTCCCACCAGCTACCCGGGGGCCGCCTGGCTGAGATGCAGCCGAGCCCTGTGAGTATGCACACGCGTGTGCACACACACACACACACATCCACGCACCTCTCTGCCATGCTTACCAGGTGGATATGAGCCCCAGACCCTCACACAGCCACCTGATGGATGAACTAGGCTAGTGCCGGCTCCGGCAGGCATCCTTGAATTCTGAGACGTGGTCTGGGGTGGCAGAGGACAGGAGGGCAGGAGGGAGGCAGCCGAGGCTCAGCCAGGGAAGGGCCGTGTTGAGGGGGATGGCGGGGAGGGGGCAGTGGGTGGGTTAGGGGTTGACTCTGAATAGCAAGGGCACTTTCTCTAGCGGTGTGAAATGGGCAATAAATGTATTAGGGGGCTAACAAGAGAGCCGTAACAGTGACAAAGAAAAGCTGTTCAAAGTTGGCGGCTAATCCCCCACCCATCTGCCTGGCTCATTACCATGTAGCGAGCCATCGGGTGCCAATCAGGGCTCAATAGCGGCTTTATTAGCCAGGCGCCGTTTGGAGGGGCTCCGCTCAGGGCGCTGACAGCCCCGCCATTCTTAACCCCCATTTCCAGGGGTTTTATAACTTGGTTGTAAATTGCTATTAAATGTAAGTCTGCCCAATAATGAACCTTAAGCCCCCTCGCCACCCCCTACCCCTCGCCTCTCGCTTTCTCTCCCTCCCAGGCCCTATTATCACCCAAGGCTGGGGCCTTGGATGGGGCCTGCCTGGGAGGAGAGGTTGACATTGTTGGTGCTGCTGCCAGAGAAAGCCTCTTAGCTTTTAAAATAGTTAATAATTAGATTAAAACTTCAAATAAATTAACTAGAGAGTGAATGGGGACTAGGCAGGGGAGGGTGCCTCCCCTCTTTTTTTTCCAGACAGTCCCCAGATTATTACAATAGATCACGTCTCTTCTCCAGCTCGGCCCAGGGGCTTCCCTGTTCATCCAGGATGGGCTATTGGAGGCCTGTGCCCAGGACCCTCCACTGCCTCCTGCTTACCTCCCACCCTCTGCTCTCTCCAGCTCCCGGGAGGCCCCCTGTGCAGGAAGCCTGTGGTGTGGCGTGGTCTGCCCCACCATCTGCTCAGAGGCCCCACGCTTGGGACTCAGGCCTGGGTTGGACAGAGAGGGCTTAGAGGGACCTAGGGCTCCAGCTGTCTTTAGGGTCCCAATCAAGGCCTCTTTGGTCTCTGGGTAGCGTGGGATTCCGGGGTTTGCACCGTTTTGGGGAGCGAAGGGGAGGTCCACTGGCTGGTTACCCAGGCTCTTGGGAAAGGATGGAAGAGGTGGCACATTCATGACAGTTCCAGAACCCCATTCACATACCACACTTGGCAGCTGCAAGCATTGTTTTTGCAGCCCATTTTACAGGTGCGTGGACCCGAGCCCCCAAGGGGTGAAGTCTCACAAGGTCAAAGCAAAGAGTGAGCCTGGGGTTGAACCCCTGCTCCCTCCATCACTCCATCATCCAACTCTGAGGCACTCTGGGGAAAGACTGAGCTCCAATGCCCCTCTCGCTCTGTCTGTTGGTCTAGCCTGGTGGCCCCTTTGGTGGATGGATGACCAGCCTCCCTGCTTAGCTTTGTGCTGCCTCTAGCTCCTGCTAGGCACCACCTCCTCCAGGAAGCCTTCCTGACCTCTGCAGCCTCCTGGAAGTGTCTTCTCCTCAGAGCCCCATGCCCTCACTGAGCTGGGTTCTGTTCCACCATCACCACGTACATCTTGCCCCACTCTTTTCTCCAGGGCAAGAATACCCTTTATGCCAGGTCAACAAATGCTTTTGGTGGCAGAAGAGATAAAGGCGATCAGGACACCCTCTATCATGGGCAGAGCCAGAGGGACAGCAGCTTCGAGTCCAGGGTCACTGGAGACCCCAAACACCTAACTTGGGATGAGCCAAATGGTAGGGTCCCTGAGGCCAGTCTTTTAAAAAAATATTTTATTTTATTTTATTATTATTTTTTTTTGAGACAGGGTCTCCCTGTAGCCCCAGCTGGCCTGGATTTGCTTTGGAGACCAGGCTGGCCTTGAACTCACAGAGATCGCCTGCCTGTGTCTTCTGAGTGCTGGGATTAAAGGCGTGTGCCACCACACCGGGCTTATTTATTTTTTAAATTTAAATATTTTATTTATTATTTTTATGTGTATGCATGTATTGCCTGCATGTAGGTAAGTGCATCCGTGTCATGCAATGCCCACGGAAGACAGAAGAGACTGTCAGATCCCCTGGATCCGGAGCTACGGACAGTTGTTAGCTGCCATGTAGGTGCTGGGATTCAAACCCAGGTCTTCTGCAAGAACAGTCAGTGTTCTTAACCGCTGAGCCATCTCTCCAGTCCCTTATTTATTATTTTTATTCTATGTGTGTGAATGAGTGTATTGCCTGCATGTATGTAAGTGTACCTGTGTTTTGCAATGCCTGCAGAGGTCAGAAGAGGGCTTTAGATCCCCTGGAACTGGGGATACAGACAGTTGCTAGTTGCCATGTGGGTGCTGGGAATCGAACCTGGCTCCTCTGCAAGAGCAGCCCGTGCTCTTAACCTCCGAGCCATCTCTCCAGCTCCCTGAGGTCAATCTTATGACCACCTTGTCATTTACTGGGCCATTTCTGGTGTCAGCACCTGACTGAATGTTTCCGGGACAGATCCCATTCTACACAAGGAAAACAGCAGGCTCTTATCCCAGTTTGCAGATGGGGAAACTGAGGTCCAGGGAAGTGGAGTGGCTTTCTTAAAGCCAGCTATTCTGAAACAAGGTTCTCAGGCAAGATCAGGTGTCAGTGAATTGGTGGGCAATCTAGGGAGTCTTCTTCTCAGGCCTGGAAATTCCACACTGTTAGGCCTCTGCCTGAGCCCTGACTTCCAGAAACACAGAGGACTTACAAAGAGCCTGAGTCCCAGGTACGGAAAGGAGCTGGGTCTTTTAAACTTGACACTTCCCCCCCCCCCGAATCCCGATGAATGGGCACATACCTTTTTTGAATTCTATCTCAAGGACATCGGGGGTGTTGGGTGCTTTGGCGGGGTCCTGGGTCTTTGTATAGAGACCCGGAGGAGCTTGATTCTAAGAAAAAGAAAGCGGTTGGAGGTTGGTTGGGGCCTCCTGAGCCAAGCCTGCACACCTGCTTCCCACCTCCTACAGGCACCTGTACATCCTTGCCCCTACCCAGGACCCCTGGCCATGGCCCCCTATCCAGGACCCCTCCACATCAGCCAGTTGGTCCAGTGGGCCCCCAGCTCCCAGCTAGCCCCGCCTGCCAGGGGCCTGGGAAACAAAGGGCTCAAGAAATCAGACAATTTTTCCCCTCAACTTGATCTCATCTTTTTCTTTGCCGCCCCCACAGCTGGAGGTGGAATAGCGGGAGAGAAACAAGTCAGGCAGGAAAAGTAGGACTTCACAGGAGTGCGGTGGTGGCAGCGGAACGCGGCTTCCCGGGAGCCGCGCGCACGCTCGCGTGGGCGCCTGGAATTGGGGTTTATTCTGCACTGACCGCAAAGCTAATGACTGTGCGTGACCCCAGCAGGTGCTCCGGCGAGCCGAGCCATCCCTGGGGTCCCCGAGGTTAATACTCACAGGGAGAAAAGAGAACAGCAAAGCAAAACCATTTGAAAACACATCAACCTTTATGTATATTTTTCCTCGGGTGCGTTGGAAAATGGGCCTCTCGTCTTGAGGCGGAGGGCTGCTTGCTGCCTGAGACTTTCTCAAAATTCGCTCCCACCTCCCAAGGCCTCAGCTTCCCCCACCCAAGGCTGAAGCCTGGACACTTGCCACTGTGGCGACAGGAGCCTCTGGGTCTGACTGCTCAAGTCTGTCCCATGGGCATCCTCTGCCCAACTGTTCTGTCTGCCTGCTGACATCTGGGAACCACAGTCCCTCGTCTTCCCTTTCAAAACCTTGAGCTCATTCACACACCACTGCTCATTTTGGCGTTCCAAGCAGCTCTGATAAGGATGAACGCTGCTGTCCGTTCACAGAGGCGGAAACACGGGCTTCAGGGAGGTACCATAGTTATGACAGTTATTTCACAGGAACCATGTTCCCGCCTGCTCCTGGGCACCTGGCACATGGGAAGGGAACTCACGAAGCTCTCAATAACTGATAGATTTTGCTTTGTGTTGGAGACGGTGTCTCGTGTAATCCAGGCTAGCCTTGAATTCCTGATCCTGCCTCTACCTCCTGAGTGCTGGGATTACAGGTGTTTACCACCACACTCAGCTATGTTAGACTTTAGAATAGTGAAAAGCATCCCTGAGCCATAGATTAGGCCATGCTGTGCTGCCTTCAGAAAGCTGCTGTCCTTGTTTGAGCTCAGGTCCTCCTGACGAAAAGAAACTTGTCCTTGTGACTGTCTCACACTTTAGTGCAGCACTGAGAAAATACTAAGCAAGGCCTGGTGTGAAGGCAGCTAGCAATGGATACTGTGCCACCTTCCAACAGAGGCCACAGGAAGGTGCCCTAGGCTGTTTAACTGCCAGCTCTGTGCCAGAGTGACTGACCACCCCATTTTTCCTGGATCTGCCTGGTTTTAGCATTGAAAATATCATGTCTCAAGAACCCCATGCATGCCAGCACACCTCATCCATTCAGCTCTGCTTCTGAGATCTGAGGGACCCTGTGATGGGAGCTATGCCCCAAAAGTGACTGCATCTCTTCATCTCTTTCTACTTATGTGGTACACGCAAGAGCCCAGGCTAGCCTTAAAGATAGACCCAGGGAGGTATGAAGGGTTCTTAAGGATTCCCAGGCATAAGACCTACAGGAAGCAGATGTAAAAACAAGGCTCAGAGAAGAGGCTGTCCAAATCTCACTGTGGGGCTCTTTCTAGCATCCCACTTCCCCAAGTGCTATGGGGCCACCTGGGCTTAGATGAAGTTTGGAGCCTATGGCTGGAGTGAGTCAGACCATTTATCATGGGACAGACTCAGGACTAGCTTCAGAGAAACACCAGGTTCCTGGGCTCCTCTGAGTGGTGCAAAGACCACCATTTTCTAGACACAGACAGGCCTAGAACTGAGCTCAAAGGGTAAAGGAACCAAGGCTGGACCTTGGAGTAACTAGTACAATCCCACGGTCTCTTCTCCACCTGGGTAGAACTCCCCAAGCCCAGGCCTAACTCAAACTGGGGCGCGTGCACCAAGGACCCCCCAGACCTCCTTTCCTCCAGTTCCTGTCTGTGCTGTGACCGACTGTGGCACCAGCAGCTTCAAATCTGAACCTGTCACTTTCTCCAGCTTCACCTTCTTTGTGTTGGGAAGAAGAGAAGAGACAGGAAGGTTCCCAGGACAAGTCTGCACACTCCACAGAGAAGTTGGGGCTGTGGGGGAGGGGTGTGGTAGGGAGCAGACAGCCCCAATTCCATCAAATAACTACATAGAAATAAAACATTTGCTTTGCATTCTGAGCTTGCCTGGCGCCTACCTTCTTTTTAACCCTCGCTCCTAAAAGCCCAGTTCAAGCGACAAGTAGTTTGTAGTTGATTATCTGGTGCCATTTATCCACCCCCACAGGAGGGCTTGCTTCCAATGTCATCTGGGTGGGGTGAGGGAAGAAGACAGAGAGAGAGAGAGAGAGAGAGAGAGAGAGAGAGAGAGAGAGATATTAATTCAAGTTTTGCCACAACAAAGGAAATTATTATCAGAGCTCATCTCAAATAAGTCACAGAGGGGGAGGAACATCTTAACCAGCCATCCAGTCCTGCCTGAAAATGGGGGAGAGGGCAAAAGAAAGCATGAAACAGGGCCCGAGAAGGAGAGATTGCGGCAAATGGTCCATGAACTAAACCATGATGTAGAGGCATGATCGATGTTGGGGTGGCTTATTCACCCATCAGATATGGCGGCCGGTGACTGAATGAACTCTTTCACTGTGGGCCGTATGAAGTTAAAGCAAGTAAATTTCTATCTTTCTCCGTGTTAGCTGCCTCATTGCCCTTCAATCAGCCCTTGCGGAGGCAGAAAATGGTTCAGCCATCTGCCTCAAACCCTCCCTTCCTCAGACCTCGAGTCTTGGGGCTTTTTTAGGGGAAGGGGGAGGGGCTCCTTTAAGCTCTCAGAGCTCTCCTCCCTGGGGGTGGGGGGGCTGGGGTGCTGTATGGAGACACAGAAACCAAACGTATGGGTGCTGTGGGTTTGGGGGAGCCTCTGTAGCCAAGCCAATGTAGAGGACAGCGCCGGTTCTCTGGCCAGAATGGCAGGAGTGGCTGGGGCCCTAGGGGCCCTTGGTGGCCCTGCACTCACATACCCAGTCCAGCCTGTTTCTCCTGCTTGATGAGGAGGGCTCTGAGCAGACCCAGGACCTGTAGGCTAAGGAAGAAAGGCAACTCCCCCATCTCCATGCCTGAAGCCTTACCCCAGGCCACACCAAGCACTGGATAGTTTTGATGATTTCCTACTTTGTACATGAGGAATTAGAGGCTCAGAGAGGTTGGGTGCCTGGTTGGAAACTGCACAGCAGTAAAAAACAGAATGTTGAAGTTCGGGTGAGGGTGCTTATTGCTAGGACCCGAGTCTGGATTAGCTGGCAGCAACCTTGATCAAGACATGCTCAGCCCTGGGACCTAGACCTGTCCATCGTGACATGGTAATCACACCAAGACTCAGGCCCCAAACTGCCCATGTGGCCTCAGCTATGCCCCCCCCCCCAGTTCTGAGGTGGTCAGTTTTGGGGTGTCTCAACTCTGGTGAGGAGAGTCATGGGCTGTTGAGAGGGGAGTTGAGTGGGAGTGGTTTCCCAGTGTGCCTGGGTCTGCAGGAGCCGGTCTGGAACTACCTAGAAGTGCTTCTTCTGTGGCTCAGCTCTGGGCCCCCCTTGGTGTGACTGACTGGTTAATGAGCAGTGGCTGGTCCGAGTGTCATGGGGTCAACGGAGCATGAACTAGAAACACCCGTGGCCGGCAGGCAGCAGCCCCATGGGCCCATCAGTACCGGGGGGGGGGGCGGTTGGGAGGACAAGGGTGCCGGCTTTCTTGAGTGACAAGTGTGGGCCCAGGAGGGCCAGTGGGCAGGTGGGGAGAGAACACCAACACTGAGGGCCCCCCAGCTGCTCTTCTGTTGAACAGCAGCTGCCCAGGAGGAGTCAATGCTATGGGCCTCAGTTTCCCCACCCATAAAATGAAATTTCACAGTCTATATTCCAAAGAGATCAAAGCAGAAAAATGGCAGAGGCCAGGCCTGTTGCCATACATTCTAGAATGGTGAACACTGACTGGGGGCTGGGCTTGGTGCTGTCAGGGTGGGTGGGGGTGCACAGGAGTGAAGTCAGGGGGTACAGGCTTGGGCGCCATCTTACGACCTTAGCAGGGCTCCACTCTCCCCATCCTGACCCAAATCACCAGGCATCTCCTCCAGCTGGCCTCAGATCCCCAAGGCCCAGCTGCCAGTATTCCCTGTGTCTTCCAAGCAGCCTACCCTCCCCCCCCACAAAGCAGCCGCCCAGGGTGTGGGGCTGGGCCAGGAACTAGAGCCATTCCCTCAGAGACAAAGAGATTTTTCTCTTCCCATGATAGAGTTGGCCCTGCCTCCCCCACCTCCCACAGTGGACAGGGGGAGACACAAAGAAATCCCCGGAGAGAGAAACCTTAAACTTCAATCTGGACTTCAGGGCCCAGCCGGGCCAGGCTGGGAGGCTGCTGCCAGGCATCAGGGTGGCCAGCATGGGTGTGGAACAATGCAGACCCAGACAAATGGGTCCTTGAGTTCTAGCCCCCACCCCCCAATCTATGCAGTGGCCCAGCCTCCCTGCCTAGGGCTGTGGGCATAGGCTGGGCCCTCCCACAAGTGTCTCATCTGCCTAATTACCTCTTTATTACCACCCAATCACACTATCTTTCTGCTGCCCTGAAATATTTCCTTCTACCATTCACCTCCATGGCAATTAGTGAAAGACCAGAAGTGTGTATGAGTAGGGGTTAGAGGAGGACTCTACACACAGCATGGAAAGGGGCAGGCAAACAGGCCCCTGGGAGGGTTTGGGAGCCTGGCATGCATAGTTAGGGCCTCACACCCAGCCCCCCCATGAAATTTCAAATTAGGCCTCACATGCATCACATAGCCTCAAGCCAGGCATGGACTCCCACCACAGGGTGCTGGCTCCTGGGAAGAGGGGACTCACCTTGGGGTTCTCCAGGATTCCGGCTTCATAGCTGTGGACAAGAGGGACGATGGGGTGAGCTGGGTACACACAGCCGCGCTACATACACTCCTTCTACCTACCCCATTAAATGCCCACAAGCCTGATCTACCTTTTCTCTCTGCCAAAGCACTTGCTACCAACCCTGTCTAGAGCATTCTTGGCCACCTCAGGTAGCTGTGGGAGCTGTAGGTAACAAAAAGAGTTGGGGTTTTCTCCCTCAGTCTTGTGGGTGCAGCCCTGGGGTTCTACACATGGCGCCTTTGCTCTGATGTACTTCTCAGGCTGTTCCCTCTGCCTCTAACACTGTTCTCAGTCAGGCCCTTTTCATCTTTGAGGCTACTTCTGAGAAGTCATTCCTGATACCCCAGGAAACCAGGTCTGCCAGTTCACTCAGGAGCAGACGTGAACATGGCAAGTTTGTGGTGAAGGTCAAGGCCAGGTGCTGAGGGGTAGGTCTTACCTGATGTGCATAAGGTTTTCATCCATGCTCCAGGGGCTCTTGGGTGTGACCGGGATGGGGATTCCATGTTGCTATAGGTGAAGACAAAATAAACAAGGTGAGTCTCCTGAAAGGACACGTGAGGGTCAAGTTCTACCTGGGCTCTCTCAAGGTCCGGACAGCCCCTGACTCTGGCCCCCACTCAGGTAAAAGTCCATGGTCCATGGGCCATTCCCCTCCTGAGATTGCAGGGGGCTTGGGGGGGGGGGATGAGGGCCAGTGCTAGATGTGCCCACACTAACCACAAGACTGAGATGCAACAGAGCAGAGGCTGACCTTGGAGTTCCTTCCAGAAGATGCTGTGAGCCCACACTCCTAGGGTTCCTAAAGTTCTTAGTATCAGGCACTGCGTTGAGAGGTTCTGGGCACCTGCTATTGATGCCCACTACAATTCTATGAGCTGGGGGCAATGGCAGCCCAAATCCCCATGTACAGTCCACAGGTGGGCCATGGAGACATCTCCCCTGATCTTGCAGTGTTTCCTGGGAACCCAGTGAAAGGAGGGACACTTATGGGAGCATTCAGCTCATAGTACCTTCTAGATACTATACCTCCCAAGCCCAATGCAACAACCACATAATCACTCTCTAGACCCCCAAGGGTAGAGTCAGGGGACTTCCAAATCCATTAGTTGTGACTTGACGCTGTTTCCTTCCCAAATGGTCTTTGCCATTGCTGAAGGAGAGCCTCCCAGACCCTGGACCAAGCAGCTGCTGGCCATTCTTGAAGGCCTATCTTGCTCAGCTTCAGGGGTGGGAGTAGGGAGAGGAGATGGTTGCCTTAGCAACCCCTGCGTCTGGACACCTGACTGTACCCTGCATGGGCTCTGATCTCCAGCTCAGAAACCTCTACCACTCCTCCCCCTAGCTCTGGTGGACAGAGAGCAGTAAGTGGTCTAGGCTAGTGACCACTGAAGCCTCCCAAGCCCCCCAGCACCTCAGACCAGTGGTCTCAGTGGGACTCTCAGTCTCCACTGGTGCCACCCAGAGACTGTCTCTCTAGAGAAGGGTTTGTCCACCCAACTCTCATGCTAAGATTCTAGACCCTCTCCTGGAGCTGGCGTGGTTTCTTTATCACAGTCCTAAACCTAAACAAAGAGGGTGAACCCCTGTTTGCCTGTTTCTTTTTCTTTCTTTCAATTTTTGTTTATTTTTATTTTATGTGTATGAGTGTTTTGCCTGCATGTGTGTAAGGGCACCCATGTGCAATGTCCATGGAGGCCAGAAGAGGGCATCATATCCCCCTGGAACTGCAGTTACAGATGGTTGTTAACTGCCATGTGGGTGCTGGGACTCAAACCCAGTACTTCTGCAAGAGCAGTCAGTGCTCTTAGTAGCTGAGTCACCACTCTAGCCCCAAGTGACACACTATGGCAGTGCCTTGGTCTTCAAGGTGGCCTGTTGTGTTGTACAGTGTCCTGGGACCTGCAGGGAGTGACCTGTGGTGCACTGACCAAGGATCCTAAGCCTCACTATACTCTGTGAACTGAACAGCAGCCACAGACTACGAGCCTCAGTGAGCTCTGGGCTATCCTGTCAGAGGAGCACCCCCCATCACCTGAGCTGGGTGGCTGGATGCATCCTTGATGTGATAGTACAAGAGGGCACTTGCCCCAAGAGGAGCACAGTGGGTCTCTCCTGAGGAATTGGTCCATGCACCCAAGCAGGGCACCCATGACATGAAATGCCTGCAGAGGCCAGAAAAGGGCGTCAGAACTCCTGGAACTGGAGTTTTGGATGGTTGTTAGCCACCGTATGGGTGCTGGGAATCGAACCTGAATCCACTACAAGTGCTCTTATCTTAACCACGGAGCCATCTCTCCAGCCCCTTGGCCCATTTCTTTATCTTGTAATAGGAAACTTGCTTAAAAAAAGAAAGCCATGCTGGGTGGGGTGGTTGATACCTGTAATCCCAGCACTTGGGGGACTGAGCAGAAGGATTGTTTTGAGTCTGAGCCCAGCCCAGGCTACTAGGCTTGAACTACAGAGTAAGATTCTGTCTCATAAATAAATAAATAGTAAAAGAAAAGAAAAATAAAACCACAACCTCCCCTGGAATTTGTGTCCTTCGATTTAAACAATACAGACAAATGAGAATACTTCATTTCTAGGTTGTTTAATGTTGACTGAGCAAGTGATCTGGAGCCTTTGCTTTTGGGGTGGTGTAGGACCCTGACCTTTTCCCAGTTGGGCTCCATCGCAGAGGAGCTGAGAGGATGGAGAAGAGGAAGAGTGGGACAGGTGACCACAATCAGCAGAGGCAGATGCCAGCCTGTGTGTACCATAGGACCTGAGAGACTTCTGTCTCCTCGGTCCCAAGCCTCCCCTCCCCCGCCCCCAAACCTCAAGGTAACTGAGGAGGAAAACAAAGCCGCCTGCATTGGAAGGACGTTGGTCCCAGTGCTCAACTTGAACTGATTTAATATTAATTATTCTTTTAAAAAATATTTTATTATTTTTTATGATTTTCTGTCTATGCGTGTCCAGGCTGGTCTTAAACTTGTAGCTTCTGCCTCCAGTGCTGGAATTACATGCATGTGTCACCACACCCACAAGGTATCTGGAGACACCAATCCTATCATATCAGAGAATCTTTTTCTTTTTCTTTTAAATTTTATGTGTATGAGTGTATTGCCTGTATGTATGTGAGTACACCCGTGTCGTGCAATGCCACGGAGGTCAGAAGAGGGCTTCGGATTCCCCTGGAGCTGGAGTTAAAGGCAGATCGTAGCCGCCATGTGGGTGCTGGGAATTGAACCTGGATCCTCTGCAAGAGCAGTCAGTGCTCTTAACTGCTGAGCCATCTCTCCAGCCCTAATATTCCTTATTCTTAGTAGTATATATGCTTATTATTATTATTTTTTTGGTACTGGTGGTTGAGCCCAGAGATTCATGCATGCTCAACAAGCATTCTATCCCAGCTCTTCTTACTCTAGGACAGGGCTTCACTCATTACCCAGCAGCCCTTAAACTTGAGATACTTCTGCCTCAGCCTCCTCAGTGTGGGGGTTATAGGTCTGCATCACCAGATCCTGTTTATTATTATTTTTAATGAGTTGTAATGATAATGATGAAGATGGGACGGTTTAGAGTGTTTTGTCTTGGGTGGTGGTCCAGGGACGGACAGGAAGTCAAGCAAGTGCTGGAGCCTCATGTCTCCAGAGCACCTTTTGGCCCTGGCTACTTATGTGTTTTGAAAGCTGAGGTTTCCAAAGCTCCATTGATTTTTCTCTCATCTGTCTCAGATCCTGACTGGCTCTGAATTTCATACAAAGCCTCCTGGCTGCTCAGCTCTCCCTGGGCTGCTTGTATCGTTGGATTATATTCTGTGTGGCTGTCTCTTTTCTCCACGTACTGGGGTTTTTTCCACAGCTCCAACCTGAGCCTGACCCCCAGGAAGAGAGTGGAAGACTGCCAGGTGTGTGTGTGTGTGTGTGTGTGTGTGTGCGTGCGTGTGTGTGTGGTGTGTGAGCACACACATCCTCCTTCCCTGGCAAATTTTTCCTGTTCTGAAGGTTATTTGAGATGGAAGCTAAGTGCTTTCTCCCCAAAATTCCAGAAAAGAGGGAACACAAATTCATCTTTGCTGGAAAAAGCCAGGCTGCTGTGAAGTGGGGCTCGCAGGGAAGGTGCTGTTATAGCACAGGTTGGCCTGGCTCTTATTTCTACCTTGACTCTGGGAGGGAACAAAACAGTGTACCAGGTTTATAATTCATTATTCCTAAAGACAGGGCCTGCCTCATATTCTTCATTAAGAAGACAAGTGTGGGGGGGGGGAGCCGCCTCGCCAACCTCCGCTCCCTTAATAGCACCACTATTTGACGATTTGTTTGGCAACATATGGGTTTGCTCTTGTAAACTCCCCTCTTAATAATAAAACAACAGATGGTGGAGGAGGTCTTTCCTCTCAGTGCTCCAGGGCCTAATGGGATGCTGGCGGCTGGGGCAGGGCTGCGTTCCCGCAGCGTCCCCTACCAGGCGCGGCACCTTGGCTGCAGCGAGCACACAGCCAGCCCTGGCGACTGCTATTTAAAAACCTGAGCAATTTTCTGGTGTGTGCACCGAGTTGCTTTTCCCCCGTCTGATTGATTGAGGCTGTTTGTCAAGTGCTGCCATCGAGTTGCTAAAAAGAAAGGTGCCCTGGGGAGCAGCTAAGGATCTTGATGCAAAACTTCTAATATGTTTTATTGCAACTTGTACTTCAAAAAAAGGCTAGCGCCGCCAAAGGCTTTGTCTGACACTGCCCCTCGGAGCGCCTACCTGTTCCATGGAAAGCGCTGAGACAATTAGCAGCCAGGTAATTGAGGTGCAGAGAACAGCTTCTCTGCTCAGAGCCCCCCTCCCCGGCTGTCCCCTGGGGAATCCACACCCACACACTGCAGAAGTGCCAGGTAGGACTCTTATCTCCCTGGGAACGGGAAGGAGGCAGGCTTCCAGCTCGGTGGATTGGATCACCTCAGGGATGGACCACACTTTGGTATGGGAAACAGATGCTAAGGGATGGGGAACAATCAATCTTCTATCATGTGGGGATCAGGTTGGCATTATGACACTGGTTCAGACAGCCCTGGCTACAGCAAAGGCCAGAACCTACCTTTGCATACTCCATCAAATCATTGCGGCCCTTGAACCGGTTGTAAAACTCAGGCATCCTCCAGGGGGCAATGACCTGGAGACAGGACAAAGGGTCAGAACTTGGGAGAGCCCACCCAGTCACAGGCCTTTCTGGGAAACAAGCCATCTGGGAGAGAGGTCTCCTGCTGGTCTCCTAGAAGATTTAGTCCATGGAGAGTGAGTAGGGAGACCCCTGTTAAGCAAGGACACTGTAGAGAGGCCTGAGTTCCATGACCAAATGGTTGTGTGGCCCTCTGGGCCTCAGTTTCTCCAAATGAGACCTGAGGGTCTGAACTAGATGGGATTTATGGTTCAGTGACCCTTGGTGGACTGAGGGGGTATGGTCCTAGCTCCTCTGCAGAGCTATGGTGGGTGGGTGAGAGAGGGAATTGGAGTGGAGACCCAGACATACCTATTCCACTTGGGCCTTACTGGCCCACAGGGTCAAGGACAGTTTCCCAAGAAGCAGAGCTCAGCAGATCTCCCAGTCCAATAGCTCTAGTGTGGGGGTGTCAAGCAGATGGATAGCTAACTGATATTAGTGGGGTATGACTGTAACAGGGCGTGCTTTTTAGGCCTCTATCTCCAGACCAAAGAGCCCCAAATGGAGAAGCTTCTAGATCAGGCTCAGCCATGGGAATGCCCTATGCTTAGCCAGGCTCCCAGAGACCAGCTTGGGCCCCCCTGCTCCTAGCCCATCACAGCCCCTGGGCTTGGCCTCTGTAGACAAAGGCCCAGAAACCAGACACCCTGCCCCCCACCCAAGTGGCGGTAGGAAGGGCCATGGTGCCTGAGGCACACAGTGAGTAGGCAAGCCGCTGCTGTCTTGGGTGTCTGCTGCTGTCTTGGGTGTCTGGGGGAGGGGAGGAGGGTTGGCATGCGGGGGGGTCAAATACATCAGAACTCATTGCAGCTCACCTCTATCCCTGGGCTGGGGACAGTTGCCAGCCTGTTCAAGGGACAGAGAAAGACGTGCCAAGGAAGGGAAGAAGAGACTGGGGAAGGGGGTTGTAAGTCTCCCAGGACTGCCGAGGAGCTCACATCAAGGCTGTGTCACACAAGATGCAACCATGGTCACCACACCCCTGGCTGAGCACCTGGGAGGTAGCCGTCCCTGAGACTCAGTATGGAGGATCAGTACCAAAAAAAAAAAAAAAAAAAAAAAAAAAGACATAAAGCCCCTATTAGTAGTTTCGAAATGCTGATTTCATGTTGGATAATAACTTTTTGGATACATGGGACATGGGGCTCAATAAAATATAAGAATGATGCCATCCAATTCTTTTTTTTTTTTTTTTTTTTTTTTTTTTTGTCTTTTTGAGACAGGGTCTCCCTATAGCCCCAGCTGGCCTGGAACTTGCTATGTAGACCAGGCTGGCTTCAAAATCACAAAGATCTGCCTGTTTCTGCCTCCAGAATGCTGGGATTAAAGGTGCTGGCTTTCATTCTTTTTAGTTTTTAAAAGTGAGGTGACTAGAAAAATCGGCAATATCTACCCCCCAAACCCCAAGGCTTGCACCTGGGGCATATGTATGTTGTGCTCCTCTGGCTCTTGTAGCTGTGGTCCAGGAGCCCTGCTTTACATACGCCCTGAGTACCTGGAGCCTGCTGGAGACCTGCACTGTGCTGGCATCCAACAAACACTGAAGGAGTCAGTGAAGGAATGGATGGTGGAGGGATGAGTAGACAGAGGCCCAGGTTGATCACACTGGAGGGGTAAGGTGATGGGAGCAAGCTGATCCATCCCCATGTGTACACACTCCGTTGCTGGGGTGACATGCCACATACAGGGGCCATTACCATCGAGACCCTCGGGAAATGTCTGGGACAAGGAGGGGTCAGCCATAGGCAGCCAGGGAGGGGCCAGGGTGAAGCGACCAGAGATGGAAGCCCAGAGTTGTTCTGGCCTGCAACCAGGGAATGCCAAAAACACTGGCCAGGGTTGAGTCCCACCCTCTATCCCGAGTGGCTAAGAAGACCCTGACCCTCCTGGAGACTGACACTTCTGGTCTGTGGTTCTCTCTACAGGAGCCACCAGCACCACAGAGTGACACAGGGTAGATGAGTCAACAGCATATCATCCCTGTCCTTGCGACCTCCTGAAATGCCACACCCTGGCCTTCACTGTCTACTCCCTCAGGGGAGGAACAATGTCTTACCTTAATCTGGGGGGCCAGGGAGTAGCACGTGAGCTCAAAGCGGACCTGGTCATTCCCCTGGAACACAGAACAGAGAATTATTGGCAGTCACAGGATGATGTCAAGGTATGGTAGTCAGCATGTCCGCGGGCTCTCTTCTCTCATTCAGGCCCTTCTCTGACCCCATAGTCTCCTAGTGGCAATGATTAGCCTGTTTTAGGACAGAGACTGAGAGACCAGTCCTTGTGTCATGGGTGGGGCCAGGACTGGAACCTAGGGCTTTCCCAGCTCAGAGTTGTGCAGAGGGGGCACTCAGGGTGTGCAAGATACGATGTCCAAGTGCCTGGAGTATGTGAGGAGTTGCATGTATGGGTGAATGTGTGTGTATGTGTGTGTGTGTGTACAGTCTAGGGGTACACATAGAAGTGTGCTGCTCCCTTGGAACTGGAGGCCTGGCTTCCAGAGACTCTAAGTGCTATAACACTGGGGAGTGAGCACGCCCTCCAGGAGGTCCCCAAGCTGGCCAGACCACAGCCTCCTGAAAGTGCCTCCAAACTAGAGGTCAAGTTCACATCAGAGCCTGGGTACCACAGTGCTTTGATCCTCCATACCTACAAAGTGGTGATTCCTGTCACTCTTTGGGCCTCAGTTTCCCCAATTCTACAGTAGCTGGTTGGGGGAGAGGAGACCCAAGTAACCTAGGAGGCGCTTTTGTTTTCAGAACCTCTCTGCACAGACAGGGAAACTGAGGCCCAGAGAGGGCACAGGATTAGTGAGAGGGCACAGGACAGGTTCTGAATAGGTGAGTGTCTCTTGGGCAGGGCTGGACCTCCAAGCGCACAGGTCCCTCCCCAGCACCCTTGAAGAGTATCATCCTGACACCCCCATGAAACAAGAGGAAGAGGGGCTGGGGTGGGCTCAGGCCGCCAGGGAAGATGCCACAGTGTCGCCTGCTCCACCACTCACAGAGAGGGAGGCTCAGGCGCAGTGAAATAATAGAGGCCCCTTTCGCCTACTGTGAAAACTGCACGGGCGCAGCCAGGCAGCGGTGGGAATAACATGTTATTTTCTAGAGTCTTGTCAGGTGGCGCGGAAAGCCTAGTTCCAGCCCCTCTCCACAGAGCTAGGCGATGTGTAGAGCTGGAGGCTGCATCTCTCTGATACCTCTGAGGCCTGGGCTGCTCCCAACAGTCAGCCCCTCATTCTCCACTCAGACTCTGTGCTGAGCACTTACTATGCACTATCACAAGGGCTAGTGGGACTTTTAACCCTGCTATGTGGATGAACAAAGCGAAGCTCAGAGAGGGGAAACCAGTCGCCCTGGTCACATAGTCTGCACCCATCCTGATAGTTGGTAGTTGGGCTGGTTCTGAGCACCATGCACATGCATGAGCCCATCAACACCTTCCAAGCTGCTGATTGGGGTGGGGTCGTGGCTAACTCCATCAGGATGGGGATGCTGAGGTGAAGGGGGGGACATTTGTCCGGGGATCCACGTGCAGCACCCTCAGGGAGCTGGACAACTCTAGCACCATGCTGACTCATCTTAGAGTCATGCTGCACACAGCCAAGTGCTACCTGTCCCAGCTACTCTCTTCTCCACAGTTTCACGTTTCCCTAACACAAAGGCAGCCTATGCCTCCCCAAGCAGGTCAGTCAGGCTGCTGTCTGCCAACCCAGACATGCCAGGGGAACACCCATCTGTTCAGAAGCCCAAGACTCCTATAGAAGTCAAATAAACAGGCTTCCTGGTTTAAGGCCTGGTTCCTTTCCTGATCCCCAGACTCAGCACTGGGGATAGGAATACAGAATCATGTCACACATGCCCACACGCACGTACATGTGCACATGTATATACCATGGTGAGTGTCCACGGGGATGGGAGGCCTTGGGGGGATGTCTCCCATCTGCCCTGGGGCAGCCCTGCAGATGGTGACATTTACAAAACTACCCCCTGCACCCCCAAAGTCTTAGGCTCATATTTCCAAGCTTTTCTTTCAAAATGGGGCGGGGGGTATCTCCACCTCTGTGCATCTCCCTGGGTGGCCCGGCAGGGGTCCTGCTCACAGAGGGGTCAGCAAGGCTAAGCAAGGTAGCATTTCTGAACCAAATGTTCTCTGGACCAGGCTCCTGGGAGGATGCTGCCAGGCAATATGTGGACCTGGAGACTGCATCCCCGATACCTCTGAGGCCTTGCTTGCAGCCTGGACTACCCTCCCAACCCCTCTCAGCATCCCTGGCTAACTCCTGCTTTTCCTGGATATTTGAACATCACCCTGTTGACTTAGTGTCCTTAAGTTCCACAGTGTCTCCACCTGGCCTGTACCTATCTGGGCATAAAGGAGTGTTGGGTCTGTTAGAATCTGAAAAGTAGAGAATATATGTATCAAAATGCAGGCTGGGGAGGCCAAGACAGGAGAATGGCAAGTTCAAGGTCAGCCTGGAATACATAGTGAGACAGAGCTCAACAAGGAAGGCTGGGGAGATGGCTCAGCCAAGGACTTAAGTGGGATCCCAAGAACCCCCTCACCCCCACACAAAAGCTGGGCTGGAGAGATGGCTCAGTGGTTAATGCTGGCTATTCTTGCAGAGGACCCAGGTTTGGCTCCCAGCACCGACATGGTGGCCAATAGCCCTCTTTAACTCCAGTTCCAAGGCATATGATGCCCTCTTCTGACCTCTGAAGGCATTGCATGCATGGGTGCACTTATATACATGCAAGCAAAATACACACATTAAAAAAAAAAAAAAAGCTAGACATGGTTGTGCATGCTTAAATTTCCAGTGTTGGGGAGGTAGAGAGAGGTGGATCCCTGGGGCTCAGCAGCCAATGAGATTCTGTCTTAAAATGAAGGTGGATGGTGCCAGAGGTTATCCGATGGCCTTCATGTGCATGCACACACAGACCAACGGACCAGTAAAGGCATCAAAGGAGAGGACAGAACACAGACCCCAGGCTGTGGCGCCCAGCACCATCAGAACAGGAGTAGACACCAGCTAGTGCAGGCACTCAGTTTCCCCGAAGACCAGAGCCTCATTACTGACCTGCTCCTCAAGGTTACATAGGGGCCTCTCTGGTCTGGGCCTCCAGTGCCCACACCTACCTCTGCATCTAGGGACAGCTTCTCAGTCACCCCGTCACCTCACCATTTTCTTGAGGCGCCTGCTTCCTGACCTGTGTGGTCATTAGTGTCCACCCCAGTCAGCTAGGCACTAAACCTGAGTGCTGAGCCCCAGCCTGGTCCTAGGTCTTCCCAGGCCTCCTCACTCATGCTCCTCAGTTCTCACTGTCTCCAAAGGCTTCTGGGTTTCTAGGTACTGTACACAGGGGATCCAGGTACAGGAGTCACCTTATCCATCAACACCCAGACTGGGGACGGTAGAGCCAGAGTAGGCCTCCCTCAGCAGTCCTTCTGGCCTGGTCTCAGGGGCCAGAGATGTTTCCATTCTGATTGCCTCCCCAGTGTGTGAACTGTAGGGGAATCCTCAAGCTCAATGCACTTATAGAACAATGCAGAAGGACTGAAAGCCCTGCAGGACCCCGCAGCGAACAGAGCCCTGGCTTATCGCTGGCCGCCTCCTAGGCCAACAGCTGCCACAAACACAAGCCTCTGGTGCCCTCTGGTGGCTACATGTGGCATAGCGCAGCAGGTGGCCACTCCCTAGGAGCGTGCTGGCTGGTCTGAGATGGTCCAGGTTTGCCTGAACTCTAGGAGCTGCCTAGGACCACAACCTGATCCAGCCACTTGTTCTATCAGCCTGAATGCCGCTCAGCTTATCCTGCACTAAACCGCTGAGTCCTCTGGACAGACGTTCATTCCAGGGCAGCGGGACTGGCTCAGGAGCTTTTATTCCACACTGGTATTTGTTCTCAGTGACCTTCACCTGGCCCCACCCCATGCTGTGTACTCTCAGAATTCTGCTCCTGTCCCTGGAGCTGGGTCGTATTTTCCACCCCACTGATAGATGAGGAAGCAGAGAATCACGGGAGAAAGCTGTACAATGTGGACGCTGTGGCACTTGTCTTAGCCTAGCACCCGGCTCTGACCTCTCAGCTCTCTTCTGCCTATACAACCACACCCCTCTTGTGGAAGGTGGCACACAGGGCCCATGCAGATAGCCTGGATGCCCACCTCGCCTCACCAGGTCAAGTAGCATCCTATCATAGAACTCTAGGGTCATATGCAAGGACTGCTGAGCAGTCTACCCTTCTCCACTTCTGCCCAGTATGGTGATTTGCCAAAGTCCCTTAGTGGGGGCATTGCCGGACACTCCAGTGCTGCCTGGGACCCTCTCACGATACCTAATCAACTGCTCTTAGGATGTAACTAAGCCCCTGAATGTGGTCTCAGCTGGGCTCAGTCACTGCTGATTTTCCAGTCACTTTGCACTTCAAGATGAGCCACTGTCAAGGCCTCTTGTCTCTGGGCCTTCACACAGCTGTTCCTTCTGTCCTGTACACTTTTCCCAGGCCCTTTGACTCATCTTCCAATGCTCATACCCTGATGGAAGACATCATGAAGATACAGGAAGCAGTCCCCTCCTGATTCCCTACCTGTGACCCTCAGTTGCTTTACCAGGTGTCTTTCTCCCTTCCCTTAGTCCTGGGGGCAATAGCCTAGAAGAAGGATGCAACACTGTGTCTGTGCCCAGCAGGCTTCCTACCCTTGATACACCCAGCACTAGCCAGCTGAACAGGCACCCAAGCCAATGAGGGAGTGGCCAAGCTTCCACACATGCCCAGTGCCATCCTGATGGTTGGCTGTTTTGGGGGCCACCCCCAGGTCAGCTCCCCTCATCACAGCCTTAGCTACATGTCTCCTGTGCCCTCCCCAGCCCGAGCCCAGGGCCAGCAAGGCAGTGAGCTTCCCATCACTGGGGGAATGTCATAGCCTGCAGGGGGCAGTGGGGGGGCTGGTTCAGCTGCTATGTACTATCCTAGGCCACTGATATAGGGTCAGTAAGCTTGAGAGTTCATGACTTGGGATTCATCAGCTAGGAATCCTGATTCTTGAGCATTGCCACCTGGGGACTGGTGCTGAGAATGGGCCTGCCTGTCCCCACAGGGTCCTCTTCACAGGCAGAGGTGCTCCTCAAAAAGTCAGGACTGGGGCTGGAGAGATGGCTCAGCAAAGAGCACTGGCTGCTCTTGCACAGAACCTGGGTTCAGTTCCCAGCACTCACATGGCAGCTAACAAACCTGTAACTCCAGTTTCAGGGGATCTGACGCCCTCTTCTGGCCTCCAAGGGCACTGCACGGCATGAGTACACATATCCATACAGACATAATACTCAAATCCATAAAATAAAAATAAATAAATCTTCATAACAAACAAAAAGTCAGGTGCCAGGCCTAATCCCCAGGTGCCCTGATTTAGTCTTCACAGAGGTAATGGAGTTACAATGAGGTTGTTAGGGAAGCCCTAACCTAGTAGCCACTCTGCTTATGAAAAGGAGACAGAGGAGGACAAGCCGACAGGAGACAGGAACACCACTGAAGCCTCTATGAGCCAGAGAACGAGTCTGAGGCTGCCGGAGCACCGTCCTTCCCCTGGCCTTCAGAGGGAGCAGGTTACACTGAGAACTTGGAGTCCCGGCCTTCAGAACCCTGCTCTCCAACTCCTTCTAGCCCTTTCTGTTATGTCCCATGGTGACATATACTGTGACTTTATCTAGGGCTGATATGTCCAAAACTTGTGACAGATCTGCCAAGAGGGTGACGAGGCTCCCAGTGCAGGCCTGAACACAGGCAGACAGAACTCGCAGCACTCAGACCATAGGGACCACCATGGCTCTCTGGCGGCCCAACTCTTCCTTCTGGCCAGCTCTGTGATCCTCAGCAGCCTTCCCCTCCCTCTCCATCCACCAGCTCTATGCATCCTCTCTTGCCTTACCTTTCCTGTGGCACCGTGAGACACATACTTGGCCCCCTCACGCTGGGCAATTTCCACCTGTTTGCGGGCGATGCAGGGCCTGGCGAGAGAGGTACCCAAGAGGTAGCGGTCCTCATAGAGTGCACTGGACTGGACAGCAGGCCAGATGAACTCCTCCACAAACTCCTTGCTCACATCCTCTATGAACACCTACAGGAAGAAGGGAACACCTATGTGAGAGGGAATTTGGCAAAGATGGGGGTCCATCATGAATACCAACCCCTATGGGCATCAGGTGGCCCCAGCACTAGTTATTGGAGATCACAACAGGCCATACCCTACCTTTCCTTCTGAAGCTGTAGTGGACATCACTAATCAATCCCAGCCAACCACACTGTTGGTGTCCCTTCTGCCGCCACAGCAGACATTACTAATCAACCAATCATCTGGCAAATCTCAACAAGATGAAACTCTGGTGTGCCCTAAGATCTGGAGCAGTAGTTCTCAACCAGGGTAGACTTCTTCCCCAGGGGGCACTTGGTGGTATATGGAGGTATTTTTGGTTTTTACAATTGCTCAGCTAGGGGTAGGAAAGAGTGTGACATGCAATGGAGCCGGGATGACTGAGGAACATACTAAACACAGACCAGTCATGAGTGAGCAGAGCCAAAATGGACACCCCCACCCCCGGCTTGAGGAATGAAGACTCTTCCAAGAAGACCAGTGAGCATGCATTGCATCATAATGAGATGGTATTGCTGTTTTCACTAAAGCGATATTCACACGGGAGACACACTAGCAGCGATCAGTAAATCCTGACGTTCTACACAAACAAATCCACACACAGGAGTGCAGAGGACGTTGGGACCAAAAGGACTAAGCATGGCTCCTCGAGTGAGGGGCTCCATGCACAAAGCCCTGCTTGGGCACTGGCCTAAAGCAGACCCTGTCTGCCTAGGACAGCATCAGTCAGCCCCACCCACTTCCATCACCTCTTCTCTCCCCTACTGGACTTCAGTTATACCACCCAAAGGGAGAGTCTTATTCCAGGCTGTGTTCAGAGGCTAACAGGAGCCTGTGACTCTCGATCCGTGTGCATTCCTTCTGACCTGTTCATGGAACCCTGTAGTGCCAGGAGATTCTGCAGAAGTGTCCTGCAGAGGGATCAGTCCTGACCAGGCAGGTGGGCTGGTGGCCTTTCCTACCACCTCTGTGGTGTCTCCTAGCAGCACCAAGAGGACATGTAAGTGGAGCCACCTGGGCTTCACCCTGCGGATCAGCTTGCACCCACCATGAGTCTGTCTGACACAGGTCAGAGGCACTGAGCTCAGTTCAAGATTCCTGAGTCTGTTAAAGGGATTAAAGGATGGGTAGCTGGACAGAGGGTGAAAGAGGGGTGGGCAGGTAGATGAATGATGGACAGATGGCTGGATGGGTAGATGGATAGGTGGATGGATAAGAGAGCAGAGAGAGGGCTGGAGAGATGGCTCAGCGCTTACGAGCACTGACTGATTTTGCAGAGGACCCAAGTTCAATTCCCAGCACCCACATGGTGACTAACAACCATCCGTAACTCCAGGTCCAGGGGAGTTTGATGCCTTCTTCTAACCTCCTTGGATATTGCAGGACATGGGTGCACTTACATACAGGCAGGCAATACATTTATATACATAAAAAATAAAATAAAATAATTTAAAAAGAGGACAGAGTGCTAAAGGGAGAAGGGCAGATAGATGACTGGGTGGATGATGGGTAGATGAATGGGGAATGCACAGTTGGATGAGCAGATGATCAATGGATAGATAGGAAGGAAGGTGGATAGATGGAAGGTGGATGGATGGATGGATGGATAGGTAGATGAATAGATGGATGGGTGGGGAATGGGCACATGGATAGTGAGCTAGGAGGTGGATACGTATATGAGTGGACAATGGGTAGATGGATGGGCAAGTAGGTAGGTGAATAGGCATAGGGATAAGAGGATGGGGGTAGGTGTATAGGTGGATGGGTGGAGGGATGCGGTAGGTAGATAGGTGGATAAATGGATGGGTGGGTGGGTAGGTGGATGATAAGTGGCTGAATGGGTGGGCAGAGGGGTGGATAGGTGGGTAGGTGGGTAAGTAGAGGGATGGGTAGGTAGATAGGTAGATAGATGGTTAGGTAGGGAGGTAGCTAGGTGAATGAGTGGATGATGGGTGGAGGGATGGGTAGGTGGATAAGCAAATAGGTGGGTGGATGGGTGGGTAGGTGGATGAGTGAAGGGATAGTTAGGTAAGTGGATTGGTGGATGGGTAGATGAGGGGAGGGATGGGTAGGTAGGTAGGAGGTATTCATATTTATGGCAGAAAGCAGTACTTTTTTTTTTTGAGACAGGTCTCACTATGTAGCCCTGGCTGGCCTGGAAATCCCTACGTAGATCAGGTTGACCTCAAACGCAGAGATCTACCTGCCTCTGCCTGTGCCAGGATTAAAGGCAAACACTACTGTACCTGGCTCTCCAAAACAGCACATTTGATCTTCCCCTGCTTCAGGGGAAGTGGAAGGGAACTGGGACAGGAGCCCTGCTGCCCTCCCTGCCGCCACCCCACCTCTACCCCAAACCCTGCCCCGCATGTACCTTTTTGGCCCCGAGCTTCAGTGCCTTCTTCCTAGCTTCTTCAAAGTCTTCCTTCTGGCCGATGTTGGCCTGAGGAGCAGAAACAGAGGCCAGTGAGCTCAGAGGTAGAGAGGAGGGTGGGAGAGGACCGGCAGGCCCCTAGGTTAGCGGGGCCAGGCACCACCCTACATGGCTGCCCTCACATGGAGGTGGCTCCCTAAGATAGCGAGGAAGGAAAGGGCTGAGCGTGGGCCCTGAGAGGCTGAGGCGCTGCAGCAACTCGGGCTTGGAGCTGCCTGGCCAGGTGTGCAGGGCTCTGGCTTTCCTGGGCTGACTGATGGAGCACACAGCTGTGTCCTGTTATTACCTGCAGGCACAGGTGTAAGACTTCCCAGGAGCTTATGCAATGCCTGGCTGCAGGCGTTGCTGGCCCTGGGAAGGAACCCATCCATCCTAAGCACCCCGGTGAGCTTCGGGGCCTGACTCAGAGGTCCCCAGCCTGTGTAGACAAGGGCATTTTCTACCTTAGGACTCAGGCCTGTTGCTCAGGTGCCCACCTGAACATTTGTATTCCGCACTCAAGCCCTGGGTCTGCCCAGAGTCCAGCTGTATGTGCTGGCCTGAGGCTACATCAACTTGCAGATCTGCCAGGTGGCAACTCTGGGGTCCATAGGGCTAGGGTGGCCCCATCTGACATACACACTGGGGCTCTTCATGTCCCGTCTACCATGGGCTGCCATTTGACACTGAGCAAAGTGCCACTCCTACCTCAACCTCATTCTTCCTGTCCTGCATAACAGGGGACAGGGTCAGCTGGCCACACACACACACACCCACCCACACACACACACACACCCACCCACACACACACACACACCCACCCACACACACACACACACACACACACACACACACACTCGCCCCTGCTGGTTGAGGCTAACTTCTGTCTGTCCATGGCAGCAGCCTTGCTTCCTCTGAGAACAGACATTCTTTGGTGTAAGGGACCCTTTCCCCAGGGGCGGAGGGAGTGAAATTTGTCTCCTGCTCACTATGACAGGAGTGAGACCCCCCAAGATGCAGCCATAGAGGAATGCATGGTGGGCTTGATACCAGCCAATGGGAGGTGCCTTGGGCTCTGCTGCCAATCTCTAGGGCAAGCCCTTCTTTCTCTGAGAAAGCTGGCTATGATTGTGCCTACTTTGGAGAGGCCAAGAATGAAGCCAAGTAAAGTCAGAGATAGATCTGGATAGACAAGCACCCGGATCCCGCCTAGCCTGAAGCCTTCCTATTTCTGGACGTCTTGGCTACGAGAGTCAAGAACTGCTCTTTGAGTTCTGTTTTGTTCTTTTGCCTTGAGCTGCTTTAAGTTACATTTCTAGAATTTACAATTTAGAGTCTTTGCCAAGGATTCAGAAGTTGTATTGAGGTTCATCAGAAGAGAAGCAGCTTGATTAAGGATGTCTGTGACAGACCCTGAATGGGGCAGTGGCACCATGCCTAACCTCTCACCGATAACCTATTTACCCTCCTGGAACTAAGAGCTCTGAGTTCTACAATCTTCCCTGAATCATTAGAGGCTGATGGGAGGGAGGCTCAGCAGAGAAGGGAGTATTGTGTGCCATGTCCAAGCCCAAGGACACTTTTTGGGTGGGGCTGGTCCAGTGGCAGTTAAGGTCCTGCCTATGCCCCCATATCCTTGTCTGAGACGGGGAGGAAGTGAGAGGAAGAAGAAGGTGTCACAGTGCAGGCTAGTCCTGCAAGGCTCCAGCCCTTACGGGGGGAGGCCTTAGACAGCCTTATCCTCTGGACATACATGCCTACCTACCTACTCATCCATCCACCCATCCATCTATCCACCTACCTGTCCATTCATCCACCCATCCTTTCACCTGTCCACCTACCTTCCTGTTCATTCATCTACCCATCATTCATATATCATTCATCTATCATCTATCTGTCCTCCTGAGAGCCAGCTTTCTCTGGTTCTGACAAAGAACAATAAACAGAATCAGCCCAGCAAGCAAGAGGCTATTTTCCCAGTTCTGGCTCAGGATGGTTGTAGAGAGGGGTTGGCATAGGGTTAGTGAGCTGGCATGTAGGTGGCTGGGACAGAGAGCAGCAAAGGGCGGGTTGGAGGGGCAGTGGGACCCACAGGCACCCCAAGGGCCTCCTTACCAGGTAGGCAATGACATCATAGCCTTGCTCCTTCAGCCATACCAGGATACAGGAAGTGTCAAGGCCACCACTGTAGGCCAGAACCACGGACCCCTTGCTGGACATCTCGTCTGGAGAGAGGTAGAATGTGTCACGGGACAGACCAGTCCTGCACAGCTCCCGTCTGGCTCCAACCCCATCCAGGGGAGGCCTTGGGCAGCCTTATTCTCTGGACGATACACTATGGGAAGGTTGGGAACACAATGTCCACCTTCCTGCATGCATCCCTCCCAGAGGACGCTGACCCTGACCTGCCCCCTCTGCACATGTTGCAAACAGAGCCCTGAAAGTGCTGACAGCAAGGATTGGAGCTGGGGGTGGGGAGGGAGGTCTTAGAGCAAATCCCTACCAGCTTGAATGGGCATCCAAGGCTGAGTGGCTGGACTGAGGCCATCGTCTGAGGGATGTGAGCAGTGGAGGTGGGAGAGGGGCCTGTGCTCAGAGCCTCAGGCAGCTGACCCATCCCCTTCAGAACTGTTCCTTCCCAAGCAGGACATGCCAGGCAGGGCCCTGGGGGTCTTGTGTGCCTCACCCTGGACCTCCACCAGGACCCTGTGAAACAGGTGCTGCCATCCTCACTGGGGAGTTGGACAGTGGGGCTGGGGAGGGGGGCCAGTGGTCAAGGTCACAGAACAAATAGCTCAAAATCAAAATGTCTAGCTTTTAAGCCAGGCATAGTGGCACACACCTTTATTCCCAGCACTCGGGAGGCAGAGGAGGTGGAACTCTGTGAGTTCAAGTCCAGCCTGGTCTACATAGTGAGTTCCAGGCCAGCTGGGGCTACAGGGAGACTCTGTCTCAAAAGGACCAAAAAAAAAATCTAGTTCTGGAACTTGGCTTCTTACCCAGCAGGCAATGCTGCCACTAATCTGTGTATGGTCCAGGAGACCACAGGCCAGGACACTTGGCCCCAGGTTCCTCTCCCACCCAGAGCACACCTACCTTTCTTCACTCACTAGAATTTGAGGTACCCTACTATGCTGTTTGAGTACCTCTGAGAGAGGGGATCTGAGACAGCCCCAGCACCTCTGTTAATTCAACTCTGTAAGGACTTGGGACAGATTCTCTTGCATGCAGGTGGAGAAACTGAGGCCCAAAGAGGGAAGGAGGCAGGAGAGGCAGAATGCCTCCCTGTGGTCTGGGGGTCCTTCCCAGGAGCTATGGATGACAAACCTGTCCCTTGGCAGTGGGGACTAGCATGCCACCTCAACATAATCCCATTCCTCAGCTGATAGAACCTTGCAGAAGGCACTGTGCTTATCATCTGTCCCCTTGTCCTTGTGGCTGTTTCTCCTGCCCAGAGTGCTCCCTCTGAACCCCCAGGCTGCATTCCAGCATGCCCTTGCATGCCCCAGCAGTTTTCATGTGGCCCTGAGGATAGGTGCTATCATTGTGCCCACACAGTAGAAGAGGAAACTGCCCAGGCTACTATGATAGGTTAGTAGGGAGCAGGGTCAGATTTGGACTCAGGCTCCAGTGTCTCAAATTTCCACTAGGGCAGAGTGAGCTGGGGCCATTATTAGTCATCATACGGACAGTCTTTCACATACCTGTGGGATGCTGCGGGCTCACCAGACTGCCATCACTACCACGAAGGCTGGTGTGCCTTGGGAACTGTTCCTGGGCCCCAGTGGCTTTCCCAGGCCACCCAGACCCATGCTTCAGGGCCTGATCCTATCTGCAGGTGAACTTTGGAGTTCAAGCACAAGACTATGCAGTCCCAGACACATCCTCCAGGCCTACTCACCAGTCAGCCCCGGGAGGTCTCACAGGCCTCATTGCCCTTTGGACTTAGGAGGTGAACACCTTAGAAACAGTGTGGTTGGGGCACGGGTTGGTTTCCATGCCCGAAGTCTCTACCCCGCAGCACCTCCCAGGCCCATCCCCAGTCAGCTGCCCTGGATCTGGGCTGCTAGTGACTCAGCAGGCCCTGACCCCGGAGCCAGCAGATGGTGCCCATGGCAACTGCAGCCAGGCAACTGGCATGGATGATGGAGAGGAGAAAGAAAAGGCAGGAAGGACCAAGGTGGCTAGTACCTAGGATTGCAGGTACTGGTTCCTGGTATCTGGGTCTCTCTTTGCAGGTATGGGTTCCTGGAGTCCGGAGTCAGTCTTCCCTGCTGGGTGAACCACTCTGTAAAAGCAAATGCATTCAGCTACCTACCGTGGCTGTCTTGAATGATGCTGGGATCCTGAATCTGGCTCCTGTGCCCCCCTCCCCAGTCCCTTGTGAGCAGCTGGACTGAACCAGGAGACATGGTAACCTTGGGGCCTCAGAAGCACCTGTCTCTAGGTCTGGCTCTGGAGCAGCAGCACTAGGGGCATGTACTCCCGGCCACATGCCTATGTGTGATGGGGCTACATATCCTGCTACATATTTTAACAGCTCTACTGATGTGAAACTGACATGTAATAAATAACATATATGTTATTTTATTATTGTCATTATGGTGCTGGGAATGGAATCCAGGGCCTTGTGTCTGCTAAGGATGAGCTCTATCACTGAGCTGCATCCCAGCCCCTTGCTGTGTGTATCTAAATCACCCTGTTTGGCAAGTTTTGTGGAAAAATCATCATCATACTCCACATAATAAACACATGGGCTGAGGCGATGGCTCAGTTGGTAAAGTGCCTGCTTCACAAGCATGACAACCTGAGTTCAGAGCCCTGGCACCCACATGAAAAGGGTGTGATCCCAAACTGTAATCCCAGCTCTGAGGTGATGGAGTCCCACAGATCCCTGGACCTCACTGGCTAGCCAGACTGAGTCTGTGAGCTTCAGTTTCAGCGAGAGACCAAGTCTTAAGAAATAAGAGGGAAAGGGGCTAGAGAGATGCTCAGCAGTTAAGAGCACTGACTGCTCTTGCAGAGGACCTGGGTTTGATTCCCAGCACACACATGGTGGCTACAAACTGTCCTTAACTCCAGTTCTAGGGGAATCCAATGCCTTCTTCTGACCTCTACAGGCATTGCACAACACGGGTGCACTTACACACATGCGGGCAGTACATTCACACACATAAAATAAAAATAATAAATAAAATACTTTTAAGAAAGAAATAAGAAGGAAAGTGATTAAGGACATATGGTTTACACACACACACACGCACATGCACACACATACACACACAGAAACTGGCACATCAGACTGTATGGAACTCTACACACACACACACACACATACACACACATATACACACACATACACACACAGACTGGCACATCAGACTGTATGGAACTCTACACACACATACCCACATTCACACACATACACACACACACAGACTGGCACATCAGATTGTATGGAACTCTACACACACACATACACGCACACAAATACACATACATAAACACATACACACAGAGACTGGCACACCAGACTGTATGGAACTCTACACACACACACACACACACACACACACGCACACACATACACACACACAGACTGGCACATCAGATTGTATGGAACTCTACACACACACATACACACACACACATACACATACATAAACACATACACACAGAGACTGGCACACCAGACTGTATGGAACTCTACACACACACACACACACACACACACACACGCACACACATACACACACACAGACTGGCACATCAGACTGTATGGAACTCTACACACACACACCCCAGATACCAAACATCCATTGTATGTGGAGCATTCCATTAGAGGTTAGCCCCATTTAGACAGGGAAACTGAGACTCGGGCTATACTTGCCAAGGCTTTGTCTGGCTTGGAAGCAGCAGGGACAGGCCCCCTCTCTCTGGGAGGTTCCAGAAGGAAAGAGCTGGGCAAGGGGTGGTCAGAGAATACTCAGACATCCTGGGGTGTTGGAGGGATGGATGCTGCCCCCAGATTCACCCGGCTCTTAGAGATGCCCTGCTTCTTCCCAGCCCCTTCTAAAGAGGGATGGGGGTGCTTCATAGAGACAGATCAAATGCCTGCATCTGCCCTGTCCTGCCTTGCCTCTGTGGTCCCATGGTGCCTCTCCTCTGAATTCTAATCTGCCCCTTCCACCAACTATGAGCTCTGTAGATCAGGGATCACCTCCCAGTGCACATGGCAGGATTTAGCACATTAATGCAGGTTCCACTTTTCCAAGGTCAGCTTCTTGTTGCAAAGAGGACTGGGATCCCCTAAAGTATGGGCTTCTACATAAGCCCTCACCCAGAAACTGGGTCCCACCTACTAACTCCTGCCAGCCTGGGTCAGAGTAGGCTCTGGGACTCTGATCTCAAGTTGAACAATGTGAGGAGGTGTGTGCGGGCAAAACTGTGTGTCTGGAAGCACATATGCAGACCTATAATGTGTGTGCCTGCGTGGGTGTGTACCTGTGAGCACCCAGGATTGTGCACCTACTAATGCACAAGTGATTAGCCAAGTGGACGTGCTGGGGAAATTGCACACTGGGACAGTAATGGTGCTCCTAGTGAAGCATTCTCTTCCAGGCCACCAAGGTCCCGAGGCTGTGTGAGGAGGCTGCTGCTGCAAAGGTTAAATGAAGCGGCAGCCTTGACTTGGGGAGGGAGAGAAGCAAGGTCAGCTACAATGCAGGGTGTTCTCTGCAGGTGGATAACTTGGTTTGCTTTAGTGCTCCAAGCAGGGCTGCACATCTGCCAAATGGGCTGAGAACGTCCCGTCCCCCACATTGGAATGCTGGGATCACAGCCCAAGTACGGACCCCCCTAAATGTCCCATACCACTGTTGTGGGTAACCTCAGCATGCTCCTGGCTCTCTGGGCCTCAGTTTCTCCATCTGTACAACCTCAAAGTCCCTTTCCGGGGACTTTGCTTTCCCAGAGGAGGCAGTCTGGCAGACTCTGGCTGAACTCCAGAAGGGCCCAGGGCACACTTTCCCAACTCCCAGGCTCTCAAGGCCAGTGCAGACAGCCCTTGCCATGACAGACACCTGTGAGAGGAACACCACATGTCAAGTTGCCTGCCAGCTCGTGTTAGTTGGCAAGTAAGGGGGCAGTGTCTGTGGCCTCAGCCAGAACCACCTGGCTGGCACCCAGGGAACACATGCCAGGCCAGCCAGAGCACTCCTCAGCACCAAGGAAAACTCTTGTGGTGCTAAAATGTCAGAGCCAAAGTAACAGGAGTAGAGGCTATGTCCAGTCACATGCTTGGCATCTCTAGGTACAGACTACCACTGCCACGTGTTTGATGGGGAGCCAGACGGATGCGCCCAGCTCACAGGCTTCAAGCCCAGGCTGACTAAAGCCTGCCCTCTACTCCACAGTTCCTAGGAAGCCTGGGCTTTTTCCCTTTCCACCCTGAGGCCTGGTAGCCAGGGGACCTATTTCTCCATATGCCCTGTGGACAGCAGTTTGCGACTTTTGGACTGCTCCTTCAACCCCCTCTCCTAACATGCTAGTTAAGCTCAACTTAGTTTGTCATTAATTTTCTCTTAAAACCCTAACTCTACCTGGGCCAGACGATTCCCCTCCAGATTATTATAAGATTTCAACTCCTAACCTAGACTGTCCCACTTGTGTCTGATAAAGCTAGGCCGCAATTCAAATACCGACCAGCAGGGGGTGCAGTGTCCTACAAGCTCCAACCTGTTTTCATTTGACAGACTAGCGTTCCTTTAGAAAAGTTTGGTTTCTAATCTTCATGCCTCAAGACATATCAACTAGGGAGACTAAGAAGGTCTTCATCTCTGGTGAGAGACATTCAAACCCTTAGCTAGTGTAACTGTCCGGGGCAAGAGCAAAGATATTCTAAAGACAGGCGCTTGTGCCCCCAACCCCTTTACCTCTCAGACTATTCAAACAATGAACCCCAAGGATTTGGAATTTCCCCAGGAATCTCAAGCTGAGGGAAGGGAAGGGAAGGGCTGGAGCCCTGGTGCCAGCCAGAGGAGGATGAGATTTCACCCAGTTCTGACCAGTTAGATATAAGCTAAGATGACCAAAGTAGGAGGAGCCACACTTGTCGCAACCAGGACTGCTGTTTGCCTTCTGTTTAAACCCTAAACCTCATGTCAGGACCCCAAATATGGACTTGAGAAGGTCACTGGACTTGTTCCTTTTCCCAGTGTGGCCACACTGAATAAATCTTTCTCTGCTTCTCACTATTGCTTCTTTATTGGCTGACTGGGGACAGGTGGCTGAGCCAGGGTCAAGGCTCTGTTCCTAACAACTACAGTAACACAAGGAAGACTTCCTAATGGAGGAAAGAAGAGCCCATTGATTGATTGATTGATTCATTCATTCATTCATTCATTCATTCATTCATACATTCTGTCAACATAACATGCCTCTGGGTGCCAGGCCTTCCCCAAGTCTGCGAAGGAACCTGCCCGGCAGGAGAGAGGAAGGGAGCCAGGTTTTGGAAGATCAACTTTACCCAAAGTCTTCAGCAAAAATCAGTGCCTCAGACCCTGAATTCCAAAAAGGTGCCTCTTTCCACCAGGGTGCCCAGAGGCAAAGCACTCAATTCAGAGGCTGTGTGTTTAAAGTTCAGGGAAGGCATCTGGCTAGCTTCTGTGCACCCAGGCCGGAGTGGGGGAGATAGGCTAGGCTAGACCATGAGAAAATGCTGGTACAGCTGAGGTGCCTGGCTTCACAAGCCCAGAGCAGGCAGGCAGTTGGTGGGGGCATGTGTACTCGAGGGTGCTAAGACTTGTGGGCTTCCAGTTCTGTTTCACCCGCTGCTTGGCCTCTGTACCTCTAGAGGCAGGGGCGGGCAGGAATCGCCACTCTGGTACTGGGCCCACCCGTACTGGATGGAGCCAGAATTCCTTGGGCAGCACCCACCCCCCTCCCCGCAAGTTCCCCAGCCCTGGCTGGATTGTGGTGGGAGACCTTATGGAAAGGGGAAGGGGGGAATTTGGACAGGTAACTCCAGTTCTGGCCAGCCCAGCCCAGCTAGTTCTTAGCTCCTCCAGCAGACCTGTCCCAGAGGGCTGAGACCCCGTCCTTCCAGTTCTGAATTTCAGACCCAGTGAGCAAGTGAGCAGATCCAGGCTCAACAGTTCGTTGAACCCTTGGACAGCCTGTGTTCTGAGTCCTAACAAACCTGGGCAGCCCAACATGAGGGAGCTACTGGAACCCAGAGCTGGAAAGTGGGAGGCTGACATAAGGTCTTACCTGCTCACTGTCACTGGCCAGGTGTGGAACTGCAAAGGGAGGGATCAAAGCCAGGACTTTCCTGGTCTACCCCAGGGAAAATGCAGGTCTGCTCTTGCCCTGGCTGACAGCCCCATTTCACGGGGGGAACACTGGGGGAGCAGTTGGTCCTCCTGGAGGAGAGACGATTTTTATCCATTTCAAGTGATCCTGCCTCCCTGGAAAGGGGCCCAAGGCAGTAACAACTCAGAGACGGACATTTCCTGCAGAGGGGCCCCTCCCACAGAGGCAGCCAGCTCCGGCGGGCAGGAAACCTGGCTGGGAGGAGTCCCACCTAGAGAGAGAGAGCTTACAGCACCCTTCCCGGAAGGGAGACCGACCAGTTACGGCCAAGGGCCTGGGCCAGGTAGTCAGGACCCGGTGGCCACTTGCACTCGGTACACTGGGACTCCGGGGAAAACCATAGCCTAAGCCCCAAGCGCGCAAGGGGACGCAGCAGACTGAACCTCTGACCTCACTTTGAGGTTTGGGGTTCAGATGGTGAGAAGGGTTCAGGTAGGAGCGGGAGAGAGGGAATCGGACCCCCCCCCCAAACCCTCCAGACTACTGAAGGTTTCCACTTGGGGCCTTCGCAGCACACAGGTCACGGGATCATAGAAGGCCAATGCAGAACGGGCCTCGGCTCCCGGACCTGTTCCCCAGACCCTGGGACTTGTGTCCCCACAGGGTCCCCCAGACCAGAGGAACCGGGATCCGCGCTCCAGGCGTGTGCGCCACAGGAGCCGGGACCTCAAGCCTCCTTCCCTCCGCGGACTGCGTGGCCATCGTGGGGTCCGCCCTCTGCCCACCCCCGGCAGGCGGCTGAAGCGCGCGTCCCCTCTGCGTCCTCGGCTCGGATCCCTCGGGTGTTGAGTGGGGACGGAGAGGGGCCGGGGACTCCTTACCAATGCGCCCAGGCGGCGGTGGCAGGCGACGGATCAGGGCTGGGAGAGGCTCGCATCCCGGGTTATAAGCACAGGGCCCGGGGGCGGGGGGGCAGGAATCAGGGACACGTGGGGACACGCGAGCGACAGGCCCCGCCCCCGGGCCGGGCCCCCACCCGGAGCCTCTTAGAGTTCGCGGCCACCTGCGGGTGGGCGGGGCCACCGCGCCTCCCTCTAGCTCCTCCCCCTCCCCTCCCCACCTCTTCCCCTCCCTATTCGCTCCCGGATCCCGCCAGCTGCCCCCGCGCCAGCGCAGCCTCCCGGGGGCGCACGGGCGTGGGCGCTCGCCTCTTGGGTCCCCTGATCCAGGCAGGAGGGCGGGTGGCGCCTCGGAGGGCGGCAGAGGGTGGAACCCGCGAAACAAACAGGCTGATTGCATCCGTCTTGCAAGAGACTTGGCCCTTCAAAGCGCTGAAAGGAGAGAGTGGAGTGGAAGTTGCCCAGGCTCAGAGACTATATTCACTTCATTTAGTGTCTGGAGCATCCGTCCCTTTCTGCAGCCCTCAGAGGCCCCTGGCTTCCCCCCTACACTAGTCCCTGAACCAGAACCCAGAGTCCTGGGAAGGAGAAAACCTGGTGGAGCCGGGCCCAAGTTGCATCTTGCAGTCCTGTCTCCCTAACAGCCTGGCACCTGCCCAGATTGCCCTGAACTCTTAGTAAATGGTGAATCAAAGCCTGGCCGTCTGCTGACCCATCGAATGGTGAGGAAGGTTGAGGTTCACAGAGGTAAAGCCGCTTGCTTGTAAAATGAACCCAGCATCTGCCAGAAGGCTGTGTCACAGGCTTCTGGGCTTGGCCTGCGTCCCACAGCACACACAGCAGCCCCTTGATGCCATCCAAGATCTGAGGTCCATCTCAGCCCCTTAGTGACCCCCTAAGAACAGCAGCCCTGGGGCCTTCTGAAGGAAGAAGCGGGCAGACCATTTACAAACAGTCATAGCTGCAGCCCCTGGCCCTCTGACCTCCAACCCATTTTGTGGCCCATGCTGGTCAGGGGCCTGGTGAGCCAGGTGGGGCTAGATGCCCAGGGGCTACTTGAGGCATCTGTTCACTACCAGTAGGCTGTATGACAGCTGACCTGAGGGCAACAAACTAGACCAGCTCAGACCTTCCATGTCAGCAGGAGGTCAATGAAGGAGGAAACAAGGAACACACCAGCCATTTTGGGTCCATTCTCCCCCCTGCAGCCTCAGTTTCTCCTCTGTAGAGCTGGCCCAGGGCAGGTAGGGTATTTCTATTAATCCTCCTGTATTTCCATCTTCATGACTACCCTTGATGAAGTATTGTTATCTGAATTGTACAGCCAGGAACTGACACACAGAAAGTGGGTGCATCTTTCCTAAGGTTACACAGCATGTCAAGGGCATAGCAGATCTAGTGTCCAGTGGCTGAAGGGCTGGCCCACACCCTCTGCTCTAACGCAGTATTGAACTGATCTAGCGGAGGGAGGAGCTGAGAGCTCTGTTGTTAGGTCACAGGTCACAGGGACCTTTACTTCCTGCTACAGAAATGGCTCCAGCCCAGGGGACTGTCCCTTTTTTGAGGCAAAGGCACTAGGAATATGGGGAAGTGAGGTGTCTGCTCATAAGAAAAAAACAGGAGTTCCCATCACCAGCAGTTTGATGCACCAAGCACCAGGAGGCAGAGACCAAGGACAGGGGGTGGCCGGCTTCTGGAGGAGCCATGTTCTCTCTGCACCCTCCACCAGCCAAGTGGACATTCAGCCCTGCCCATCCATACTCTGAAGACCTGGGCTCTGGTGGTGCACAACTCAGAATATCCCCCCCTGGGAATGAGCTACCATGGCCTTTGACCTTCACCTTTTCCCCCTTTCCACACTGGGGTCAGGGCTCCCCCAGGATCATCTTCTAGGTAGAGATGTTGGAGAGGGCTCTAAATGCACATCAGGTAGAGAAACCGAGGTGTGGATTTGCTGTCTTGCCTTCATGCCCCTTCTGTCCTTCTGTGGCCCTCCACACTGTACGAGTCCACACTCGTACTCAGGCCATTGGAATTGCCTACTCAAATTTCACTGCTAGTTTCTCTGTTCACCTTAGTTGACTTCCAACCTTTTCTTTACCCAACAGCCAGAGAAGTCCCCAAAATACAAATCAGAATAGGTCATACACACCCTACTTAAAGGTCTTTATTAGAGCAGCAAGATAGCTCAGCTGGTAAAGGCACTTGCTGCTGAGCCCGAGGGTCAGCATTTGATCCCTGGGACCCACATGGTTGAAGGAGAGAATTGACTTCCAAAGTTGTCCTCAGACTTCCACACATGACATGCATGTAACACCCTTACCCTTTCCCCCCAAAAAAATAAATGGAAAAGAAAAAAGAAAAATATCTTTGGTAGCTTATCACCCACTCTGGATGCCAATTTCAAAGTGATTTAGCCACGTTAGGTAAGTACTTTCCTTTTCCCACAGAGTTCTGTGAGCACTTTTTCTGCAAGCTATTCATCACGAGTCTGTTTCTACACCTCTGTTCCATTCCACTGATGAATTTATCTATTGTTATGCCAATTCTATACCGTCTTGATTATTGTAGCTTTATAGAAACGTTGAAGTGGGGAAATACGGTTCGCTTAACTTTGGTCTTTTGTGACTGTTTTGGCTATTGTAAGTCCGTGGCACATCCATTCAAGTGGCAGAAATGGTATATACAAAAGCCACTTGAGCTTGGAATGAAATTCAGTTGGCAGCATGCTTGCCTAACATGTATGAAAGCCCTGGTTCCAACCTCAGCACCACATGAACCTGGCTTGATGGTGTCCTCCTGCAACCTCAGCACTTTGGAGGCAGAGACAGGAAGATCAGAAGCTCAAGGTCATCTGCAGCTACATAGTCAATTTGAGACTAGCCCAGGCTACCTGAGAACTTGTCCCTGCCCACCCACGCCACCCACCAAAAGGAAGAAAAAGCTGTTGGGATTTGTGTGTGGTGCTGGCACTCTACCAGTGCTCTACATCCACGAATCTCTATATAGAAGCCTATACAGCCACTTGGGAAAGCGGACAATATTGAGTTTTTCAATCAGTGAACATGGTGTGTCTCTCTATTTGTAATTTCTTAATTTTTCTTTGCTTCAAAATAACCCCCAAAATAGGACTGGAGAAATGGCTTGGTGGTTAAGAGCGCTGGCTGCTCTTGTAGAGGACCCTGGTTCAGTTCCCAGCACCCACATAGCACTCACAACCACCTGCAATCCCAGTTTCAAGGGATCTGATGCCCTCTTCTGTACTCCCTGGGCACAGACACACATATAGTGCACACTCATACACACATACACACACACACACACACACACACAAAAAAAAAAAAAAAACCAACGATTTTTTTTGTCCTTTTTGAGACAGGTCTCTATGTAGCCCCAGCTGGCCTGGAACTCACTATGTAGACCAGGCTGGCCTTGAACTCACAGAGATCCACCTGCCTCTGCCTCCCGAGTGCTGGGATTAAAGGCGTGTGCCACCACTAAAATGAAACAAAGTTTTAGAAACCCCTAAAATAGTCAAAAATACTAATTGCTATACCATAAGCAATAGGGAAAGTATTAAAAGAGTCAGAATTGGTGAGAGACCTCCTGAGATGACCTTTACTGCAGTGAACTGGGTTTTTCATTTAAACTAGAGGTGTATTGTTAAGAAAGCGTTCAAGTAGGATAGGGTTGAGAAAGGGTCTTCTTAGCTAGCCCTAAACTAGCTGCCTATGTGTGTGTGCCTACATGAGTTTATGTGCACAACACGTGTGCAGGTACCCATGGAAGCCAGAAGAGGGCGTTGGATCCCCTGGAACTGGAATTACAGGTAGTTGTGAGTTGCCCAACCTGGGTGCTAGGAACTGAATTCCAGTTCTCTGCAAGATCAGGATGTGTTCTTAACTACTGAGTTGTCTCTCCAGGCCTGGCACCCCCTGGCAAGAATCTTTTAAACAGATAGATTAAGGCTTGGTGGCACATGTCTATAATCCTCACTTCTTGGGAAGCTGAGGCCAGAGACTCTTTGAGTTTGAGCCCAGCCTGGGCAACATAGTGAGACCCTGTTTCTAAAGACATGTCCATGCCTTGTGCTTGTTTTACACGAGGGCCTTGTCTGGTGTGTGGTCTTTGCACATGCAGTTTCTTGGCGGTCCACTCTGATCCCGTCCCTCTCTCCTTTGACCATGTACTGTCACGCTAGCACACAACAGAGGCCCACTGTCTCCTGTAAACGGTGGAAATACAAGAGACTCTGGCCCCTCCCCTTGGCTCACTGCTGTGGTCTTAACCTCTAGGACCACCTCTTCACCTCTGCCTGCATCCCTGGCTTCCCACCTGCGTTCACCACACTGCATCCAGGCGGCCTCTCTGACTATTGTGACCTCTGGTCTGGCCTGCTGAAGGACAAGCTTAATGGATGTGATCTCATAGACCCCTCCAGCAGTCTACAGGCTGACTGTGGAGCGGTCCTCTCCTGTCTTCTGTCCTCTGCCACTCGAGGGCTCTGTGGCTCCAGAGTGTAGAGACATCAAGGTCCTTGCTCTGCAGCCTCTTGTGACTGGCACCAGAAGTCACTGTGCCATTGCCCAGGCCTGGGCAGAGTGACCAGCACGGAGATTGACCTCCAGGCTGGACCCTGGCTTGTTTCTCCCCACCCAGAGGAACACAGAGTCCAGTTGTCAGGATTCTTGGAAAAGCTGCATCTGGGAGTTTAATGAGTGACCTGCCCCACAGGCCTGTTTTCCATCACTGAGGCTAAGAAGAGCCTCAGCGGTCAGGCGCCCCAGGAGCTGGGTGGCTGGATGGAGCTTTGACCAATGGCAGCTGGCAGTGGTAAGGTAGAGTGGAAAGCACCCCTCCTGGGGGTGGGTCCAACTGCAGTTCCAATGGAGGCAACCTCCTCTGAGTGGTGACAGTCCCTGGGGTGGGGGAAGAGACATCAGGGACTCAAGTCAACACATTACGGACAAAAGGGAAGAAGAAAGGTTCTAGCTGAAGGGACACTTCTCTCTTTACCTCAAACCCCTCCTTTCCATCCAGCCCCTGATGCCAAGGGCTTGGGTAGGAAAGGTCAGAAGGCAGTGTGGGCTTAGGCAGGTTGCTCTCTGTCCCTCTGCCTCTGTTCCTGCACCCATAAGATGTGGGTACCCCTTTTTGTCTCTGAAGCTCCTGAGAGAGAAAATAAATTCAAGTTTATAAAGACACTAGCTGGATACAGTAACTTTACAACCCTGAGGGTCTGGGTGAGCCTAGGAAAGGGTGGGCAGGATTGTAGGGAGAGAGGAGAGGACCAGGCTCCTCACAGGAATGCTAGGCCAGCCCCAAGGCAGGGCTTTACCTCCTTCTTAGGGATGCAAAGTCCATGAAAAATTAACAGCCCAGCAGGAAGAGAGCTCAGGTTTTGACCCCTTGCACAAGGAGGAGCCCCTCAGCACAAGGAGGTGGGCTCACAAAGTGTCCTGGGACAAATGGCATATGGTGGGCTTGGGACACCCGGCCCCAACATGCCCTCCTCCCCCAACGCTCCTCCTCCAGCCTGGAATTCTGTCTGGAGTGGCTTAAAGCAATGGTCTTCAATCTGTGACTAGCATCTACAATTCCTGTAAAGCCTGTACGCAAAGCAAGAATAGCTTTTACGTTATGTGTTTGAAAGAAGAAAATTTCATGACATGAAAATATTGAGCTTGAAATACGAGTGTCAGCAGCTGTTTCCCCAACCCCTGAAAGTGATGTGTCGCACCCACTGATGTGTGTGGTTTCTGGTTGCCTTGGCACCCACCTCCAAAGGCACACGGACTTAGTTGCAACAGAAACTGGATGTCCTGAAAAGCCAAAAATATTTACTTTTTCACCTTTTACAGAAAAATCTGCAGAGCTCTGGCTTAAAGGCAATCAGTTTGAGTAGCAGGGCTGAACTCGACCCGGTGGCACAGGCTTGCGATCCTAGTTCTTGCAAAGTAGAAGCAGGAGCATCAGAAGTTCAAGTTCATCCTTAATTATATCCTGAGTTTGAAGCAAACCTGGGCTATATGGTACCAGGTCTCAAAAGTAAGACATAAACCCAGGTGTGGTGGTGTGTACACACCTTAAATCCCAGCCCTTGGGAAGCAGAGGCAGGCAGATTTCTGTGACATTAAGGTCAGCCTGGTCTACTTAATGAGTTCCAGGCCAGCTAGGGCTACAAGGAGTCCCTGTCTCAAAAAGAAAAGAAAAAACCCAAATCAACAACAATAACAAAAAAAAGAACAAATTAGAGGAAAGGAAGGAAGAAGGAAGGGAGGGAGGGAGGGAGGGAGAGAGAGAGAGAGCAAGTCCCATAGACGATTCTGTTGTCTGTTAGGTAACAGTCTGGAGTTCTAGTCTAGAGCTGGGTGTGGTGGGACACACCTGTAATCCTAGCACTTGGGAGGCTGAGGGAGGAGGGTTGCTGTGAGTTTGAGGCCAACCTGTGCTACAGAATACACCCCATCTCACTGCTCTCCTGTGGCCCAGATGGGAGAAGAAGGATGTTCAGGGGGAAGTGACGGTCACAGTGAGCCAACGTGGCAGAGAAAGGAATTGTTTCTTTAAAATCTTGTGTACAAGAGACAGTCTCTCCATGGCTGTGCCTGGGAGCAGCTGGCGAAAAGACAGGTCACTGAGGCAGGAGCTTGTCCACCCAGAAAGAAGAGCCAGGCTAGTGGGGAGGTGTGTACCGGCTTCTTCTGCCTCCATTTCCACCCATTCTCCCAGACTCAAAGTCTGAGTCCGAGCTGGCACACGGGCTAGAGACACGGCTCAGTTGGTAGAATTGTTTGTCTAGTATGCAGAAGCCCTGGGATACAAAAACAAGTATTTTGTTCAAATATTTTAAAAGTACTTTTTTAATTTATTATTTTTGTTTTATTTGTGTTTTGCCTGCATGTGTGTAAGTGCACCTGTATCAAGCAATGCCCACAGAGGACAGAAGAGGGCATCGGATCCCCTGGAACTGGAGTTACAGATGGTTGTTAGCCACCATGTGGGTGTTGGGAATCAAACTCGGGTCCTCTGGAAGAGCGGCCAGTGATCTTAACTGCTGAGCCATCTCTCCAGCCCTTTTTAAATTATTTTTATTCTATGTTTTGCCTGCATGTATGTGTACCATATGCATGCAGTGGCCTTAGAGACCAGAAGAGGGCACTGGATCCCCTGGAATTGGAGTTTACTGAACAGGTGAATGCTGGGAACCAATCTGGGTTCCCCACAAAAGTAGCCAGGGCTCTTGACAGCTAAGCCATGTCTCCTGTCCTGGTCCTGAACTCTTGATTCCATTGCCTCCACCTCCCCAGGACCTGGGACGACCCACGTGCACCACCACACCTGGGAATTAAAATTTATTCTTGAGCATTAAAGTAAGATTTTTTTTTTTTTTTGCAACCATGTATTGCTGTCTAAGAACCTTTAATTTTCACTAATTCTCCCTCAGCTCTATGGGAGAAGGGAGGCCCTGTTCAGTAGTCCTATTTGGCAGCAAATAGCCAACCTGAGGGAAACCTTATGACTTCTTAGCATCAGGGTCTGCTTGACACAGTGACTCTAAAATCACAGCACAGACTGGTCAGGGCTCTCCCAGGCCCCTCCTTTGCAAGCTAAAATAACTGAACGAAAAATCAGGTCAGTAAAAAAAAAAAAACCATAATTGTTTTTATATTATACACAGTCCCTGATCCGGGCCACATGCCCGGTGTGGACAGTGACTGCCAGTTCCACCCCCACCCTGGAGGGCTCTGTCCTCCCTGGAGTCCTGGACCCCTGAGACCTGGCCCAGCTCCCCGCTGAGATTTGGAGCAGACCAGGATTCAGGCCCGTCGGCCAGCTTTGCTAACAAGGGGCAGCACCCACTGTCCTGAGGTCAAGGCCCTGCGCACAGCGGTGTTTACAGAAGGTCTCGCTGACGCAAGGGGCAGGAGAAGAGGACGTCCACTTGTCACCGCAGGTGTCGTGGGCCAGGGTCGCCCTGTTCCGCCCCGGAAGGTCACGATGGAGCTGCAGCCTGGTGGCCTTGCCCGGCTCAGTAGGGGTAGGGAGACACAGCGATGAGCAGGACGTAGAGGCTCTGGTGGCGCGGCGCTGCTGCGCGCACGGTCAGGCGGTAGAGCCCGGCGCGGGTGAGCGTGCGGCGGGTGTAGATGGCACCGTGGCCGGCGCGCAGCTGGCGCAGAGCAAACGGGCTGCGGGGGTCGGGCTCCAGCACACTGAGCTCGGTGCTGTTGTTGGGGACCCCGGCCTCGGAGAAGGCGGCCAGGCGTGCCACGTCGTGGTGGGCGCGCACGCCCAGGGGCAGCGGCAGCAGGCGGTACTGAAGCGTAGATGGGCCGCTGGCGCTGCAGTCCTGGGAGCAGCGGCGAAAGCAAGTCCTGCGGGCCGCACAGACACACCCATTGGGTTGCCATCCCGCGCAGCACACCCCCAGCCTGTCCCCATGCACCCCGTTTCTGTACATGCCACTGTTTGCCCATTGCACAGATCAGCTGACTGAGGCCCAGAGAAGCCAGATAAAGGCCGGCTCTCCTTGTACTCCCAGCGGACTTCGATGTCCAAACTTCAGGGCAGCTCAGCAGACACAGGGAGGCAATAAAACCTGGAGCCCCTCAGGTCCACTCAGAGGTGCCTGGAGCAGAGGAGCCTGCTAACTGAGTCACGGGTCTGGATTTGCAGGGATGGTGGGGGCTCAAAGATTATGTGTGTTCACCCTTGCCAGAGTTCCCACCTCCACTGCCAGCCTTATCTCCCCATTTGTAAGGTCCAGGGCACATCGATTGCCCCAGGAAAACTTCCCCATGTGCTCACAAGCCCTTGACCCAAGGTCCTCAGGTCTTGGTGCCTCTTCATGAATGGAGTGGCCGGAATCCTGGGCTTTGGGGGTTTCTCTGGTTTACGTGGCTTTTTCCATAGCTGGGGTTGTGTTTGCACAAGGCAGGGGTTGGGGGGCATTTTCCGCCCCGGAGAGCACTCCGTGCAGGGAGTACTTGGAGAGAAGCTTGCCTCTGCCTGACTGCAGGTATTCTGGGCCTGCTAGTGCATTGCCCTGAGCCAGGATTTCTGGCAAAGAGGTCTTCCTTGGCCCTGGAAGGCCTTCCTGGAGGTAGGGGTGCAGGCATAGGACAGCCGGGGAGGAAGCCCTATGATCATGCGTCCCCCACCTTATGCCCCAGCTGACGCCAACTGGTCCCTTACCCGGGACTGGAGCCCTGCCTGTAGGCAGCAGGACAGGGTGTGTCCACACAGCGGTAGCTGCCGCGGGTATTGAAGCACATTTGGCCAGGCTCACACTCGATACCATCTTCCTCACACTCGTTGATGTCTGGGTTGGGGGGCGGGGGTGGGAGATGAGAAGACAAAGAACATAGGAGAGCGGAACCAGAGGTGGTGTGGAGGCCCGCAGAGCAAAAGAGCCGCTTATAGAGGCGGCGCCTGTTCAACCCTTGCTCTCCTGGCTCCAACTCCCTGGACGCCATTGTCTATGAGGGCGTGGCCGGTAGGGGCTTCCTGGTATCAATCTGGATCTCCCACCTAGAGAGAGGCTGTACTGGCGCTGGCCGCCCCTCCTCCTTCAGCCACAGGTGCCCATAGACGAAGCGCTCCCCCTATGTCTCCATCAGTGGATGCCTCATTCTTCCACTGACTGCCATGACAGGGAGCCAGGGTGAAGAGGCAGGCTCTCCTTTTATGGGCTGCGGAAGCAGCCGGACCAGCCCCAGGTCCCCATGCACCTTGGAAGGTTATGTCCCAGATGGGGAAACTTTAGAGGACAGCAGTGGTACCACCTTCCTCCTCTCTCATCCCAGCCATCTGAATAAGTGTTCCTTGAGCCCTGTTTTACCAGGTTGAGGTTCAGAGAGGTGAAGTGAGTTGCCCAGGGGACACACAGCAGAGCTGAGGTTGACCCTCATGATGACCCCAAGCCCCTTGGCAGGATACAGACTGAGCTTGGCTGTGTATAGAACCCCTCGCTAGTCTCCCAACTCCCCACCCTCTCATCAGTCCAGAAGGGGCTGGCAAAGGCAGAGGGTGCGACCTACTGCTGTGTCTGGAGAGCAGCCCGGCTCACCTTGGCAGTTTTTCCCACTGGGGAGGAGGCGGTAGCCACTGGGGCAGAGGCAGTGGTAGCTGCCCTCTGTATTGCGGCAGGCATGCTGGCACAGGCTCCTCATTCGGCACTCGTCAAGGTCTGGTCCAGGCCCCAGAGGGGGGTGGGGGTGGGAGGATTCAGGGGGGAGGGGTGGGGGGCATGTCAGAATGGAGACAGACAGACTCTGAGTCATGTTGCCAGGAGGCCATGTGTTCTGGGGCAGACCAGGGAATCTCCCTGCCCCAGGCAGCCACTCCCTTGCCTGACCCACCCAACCCAACTGTAGGAGTCCCTGGACTGGTGAAGAGTGGAGGCCCCACCCAGTCCCCCATCACCAAGGCAAGGGAGGCCACTTTACCCACAGACTCCTGTCGTGGGCAAAGTCACTTGGGCACTTGGACCCTATGTGCCACCAGCTCAGCCTCCGCTGGGCCCAGAGGGCTATGGACCTCCACCCTCTGTTCCACCCTTTGTTCCCAACAGTCCCTTCACAGCCTCAGGTCTAACTGGAACATTCTTTTTCATTCAGTGGTTTCCTTGGTCCTCTCTCTAGACAAAGTGTCCTGAAGTCAAACTACTCCAACGGCCCTCTGGGAAGCCACTGGCCCAACAGTATAGCCACAGCTCTGAGCCATTCACACTTAACAGTTTCACCTGCTCACCCCACTTTGCCTGCCGGCTCTGAGTTTCTGAACTTGCCCAGCTCCGAGGAGCCCACCTTACCTGTACATTCGCCATTCTGCCTAATGAAGCCAGGTGGGCACCAAGCCCGGCCCACATTGTTCTGGCCTCCAGAACCAGACCGGAGGGAGACCCAGGCATGGTAAGAGCCACCAGGCCTGGGTATCCAGGGACGCAACCAGGGCACAAAGTGGCCCCAGTGGCTGACGGTGGTAATGTTTTGTCTGCTTTGTTCCAGGGGGGTGCAGGTCCTGCCATCCCGCAGGAGGGTCTGGCCTGGTGGGCACAGGCAGCGGTAGCCCCCTCGGAGGTTGTGGCACTGGTAGACACAGGGCGTGGGTAGCTCTAGGCACTCGTTGATGTCTGTGGAGGGAGGCACAGAGCTCCATAGTCTCAGGTGTTCACCTGCCCCCTCATTTCTATTTATTTATTATTTATTATTATTATTTGTCTTTAATTTTATGGGTGTGAGTGTATTGCCTACATGTATGTAAGTGCACATGTGCCATGCAATGCCTGTGGATGTCAGAAGAGGGCATCAGATCCCCTGGAACTGGAGTTGCAGATGATTTTTAACCACCATTTTGGGTGCTGAGAATTGAACTCAGATCCTCTGCAAGAGCAGCCTGTGCTCTTAACCACTGAGCCATCTCTCCAGCCCCTTATTTATTATTTTTATTTTACATGTTTGAGTGTATTGCCTACATGTATGTAAGTGCACCCATGTCATGCAGTGCCCTCGGAGGTCAGAAGAGAATGTCAGGGCCCCTGGAACTGGAGGTACAGATGATTGTTAGCTGCAGTGTGGGTGCTGGGAATCGAACCTGGGTCTTCTGCAAGAGCAGCCAGTGCTCCAGCCCCGGTGCCCCCTCATTTTTTGAGGAGTGCAGGCCACCTTGCTGTGTAGTTCATACTGCCCTTAAACTCATGATCCTCCTGCCTCCTAAGCACTGGGATGACAGGCATGTCCCTCCATGCCTGGCTTCGGCTGCTTCTTGCTTGCACCTTCTCAGAATCCAGTGTCATATATACCACACAGGGGTTGCCTACAACTCAGCCTGCTGAGGCCTCCTCCACCAGGGTTCCCTCCAGCCCCAGGTCTGAGCACCACCTCAGACTCTAGAGAGAGCTTCTAGCTCCATAGCCCTTGGTGACAGTCAGTCCATTCTACTCCCACACCTCTGAGGCCCAGCCCTGGTCTCCATCCTCCCACCCTTCCTGGCCTCCACAAGAGTGCCTGGGATACGGGCCCCGGGACACAGGCCTTTGCCTCTGCCTGCTGTTCCATCGTTCTCAGGACTCACCAGACCATCACCAGAGTTGTGCCCCAAGCCCCAGTGAGGGGCTGCCTGTCCCCTTACCTAGGCAGGGCAGGCCAGGGCCCTGGAGGTGGTACCCTCTGGGGCAGCTGCAGTGGTGACCCCCTGGGGTGTTCTCACAGACCTGGTTGTAATGACACTCATCCAACTGCTCCAGACATTCATCCACATCTGAGGAGACAGGGATGTGGTTATGGGTGTGCTCACAGATGTGGTTTGGCCCAGAGCCCTTGCCTAAGGCTATGCCCTACCCCTCTCCCCTGTCCCTTTTTCTGAATGCACCAGGCTGCATGTTGGTACTTGTACACCGTCCCCAAAGACAGAAGACTGGAGGTCAACGGGATCCAGGCTCCAAAGGAAGGAAAGGGTCCCGGGTTCCATCTGAGCTCTGAGGTATTCTAGGCAAGCACCCCTCCCTCTCTGAGCCTCATGTTCCTCACATGTATGGGGTTAAGGGCTAGAGAGATGGTTCAGCAGTTAAAAGCACCGGCTGCTCTTGCAGAGGACCCAGGTTCAGTTCCCACCACTCACATGGTGAAAGAAAAAGGCACTTGTTAAAGCTACTCGAGCTGCCGTAAGCAGGACTAGGCTAGGACTTAGACCTTGGGGGCTCAGTTCTGGGCTTCTGTCCCAGTCCACTGCCCTTTTTCTGACCAGAGAATTCTGGATGCCCTTAAAGTCTGGAATCCCAGTGACATGGCTGTCTATCAGCTGAATCCTGGAACAGTCTGGATTCTTGGGAGTGAGGTCAGACCCCACCCTCCGCTCCTGTCACCTTCACAGCCAGTCCCATCAGCAGCCACCCGGAAGCCAGGCCCACAGTCAGGGAGACAGTTGTAGGATCCCAGCAGGTTTACACAGCGTTGCCCCTCCTGGCAGAGGTGGGTGTCCCCCACACACTCATCCACATCTGGGGGCAGACCAGACAGGGGGCTGATTGAACGCCTGCTCACTAACCCTGGCTTTGGCCCAGTCCACCTACACAATCCAGGACTCTGGCACAGAGGCCCCCTTAGCCTGTAGCTTCCAACACAAGCTGTGGACTATGTCTCCTTGGACCCGGCTAGAAAGCTGGGCCCGACTACTGGGAGCGAAGGGTAAAGATCTGTCAGATCTGTCACTCAACCACTGCTCAGAGGTATCATCTCACTTGACAGCCCCTTCACTCAGCTGGGTGTAGGGAGACCTCCCAGGGCATGAGTGTCATGAGTTACATGGGGACCATAAATATGTCTCTGGGGATCCCCCCTACCCTACCACCCAAGCCTTTCTTATGTATGGTCCTCATAGAGGACGGGACCTTGTGGGAACAGAGCATTGGAAACTCCAGGCTGGCATCAATATCTTCCAGAGGAGGCTATCTTCTATGGGGGGGGCGGGGTGGAGGGCGAGCATGCTTCCCTTTGGGGTCCTGGCCCTGGGGGTACACCTGGGCCAGGTACCAGCAGCACCTCCTCTGGGGTCGCTCACCTCTGCAGTTCCTGTCATCCCACGCCAGGGCGAAGCCAGCAGGGCAGGAGCATAAGAAGTGACCAGGAGCATTGCGGCAGGAGTGGGAGCAGGGGCTGGGGCCGCTGGAGCACTCGTCCCTGTCTAGGTGGGGAGAGATGGGGTGGTCTGTGTTCACAGGCTCTCCTGCCAGCCAGCTGGGGCAGGCCGTGCATACCAGATGGAGAGGTCAACTTTGTCCATGCCGGGGCCTGGGAAGTGCTCACCTACACAAAATGTTCCCTGGGTGTCCAGCTCAAAGCCCTCAGGACAGCCGACCTCATTTGCTTCTGCAACGCAAAGGGGACATTCCTGAGGACACGGCACCCACTCCCCAGGCCGTCTTAGACTGTCTCCTTGGGCTGCTACAAACAGAAGCCCCTGGCTGGGAGCTCAGCCCAAGTCTTGAACCAGAATAGTAGTAACAGCCTGTAAGTGGCTTCTGACCCAAGCTTGTCAGAGGTGGTGGCTGTGGCACATGCCTGGTCATGTAGATGTGCCCGGGGGTTCTCAGGAATGGGGGATGAGGGCTAGGCAGAGAGTCAGGCAGACCCAGCAGAGACAATTAGAGAAAAGTAGAGAGCAGGAGGACAAGTGTACAGGACTGTGCTCAGGAGAATGCAGTGGCCATGCACATGGGTGGACAGAGGGCTACCACAGCCTTCTACAGCCTTCCACAGCCAGCCAGAGACAAAGGACCCCGTTCACCTAAGCAACTGCAGGGACAGCCACCCTCGGTAAGGCCAGCTGGGGTTTTCAGGGCAGAGCCTCTGCACAGATGGAAACACGAGGCTCAAGATATACTAGGGGGTAACCCTGGGATCCACAGCTGGAAGGTGGTAGTGTCTGAACCGGGGTGTTCTTGGCTTTTCAGTCATGCTAATCATCCCGCCACCTCCTGTTCAATGTTAAACCCTTGGGACTTCAAACAATGCCAAGGTAGATTTTTAGAATATCTTGTTTGTGATTACTCAGCATGCTCTCAGGTGGATCAGCAAGGATTGGGGGAAGAGTGTGGCCCGCGGCCTAGTCTTTGAGTGTGGACTCCATCTTGGGCCTAGGGAAAGCTCCAGAACTCAAGGGTCCAGAGGTCTGAGCGAGAGTGATCCAAGGAGCTGTGTCCCTCCTGGGGCTGGGTGGCAGGGGCCGAGGGGAGGTGAGTTGCCTCATACCCCTGTCCTCAGCCAATGCCTAGTACATTTGGGGCCCTGGTAAGTCTTGCTTGGAGAAGTGGGTGTGGGGACAATGGACAGGGCCTCACCAGCTTGCAGGGCAGTGGTGAGCTGGAAGCGCAGGGCCTCTGCCTCAGGGTCGAAGGCCGAGCTGATAGCCGACGCCCTCAGGTGCTGCACCAGCTGGGGCTGGGGGCCCCGGGTCTCATCATAGTGGATACTGTGGTTGCAGCGCAGTGAGGCTGGGAGGCTGTCGTGGAGGAAGCGCTGTGTGGAGCCCACGAACAGCTGGCCAGGCCCTGTCTGCACGTAGCGCTCCTCAAAGTCCTGAGGGGAGAGGGAGGCGTGGGTCTGGGGTTCCAGTCCTGAGCAGCCGGGAGGTAGAACTCCAGGGTCTGGGATGCCATAGGAAGACCTGGGTAAGCCTCTACTGCTTCGTCTGCCAGGCAGACATGTGCTGTGTGCTGGGGCAGGTGGGACGGGACACCCCCTTAACTGTCACCACTCCCAGCTGGGGCTCAGCCATACCCCCACTTGCAGATCTTCGTCAGCAAGGCTCTCGGGGATCACACCATTGATCATCACGTCAAGGAGCAGGAGCCCGTCAGGATCCAGGCCTCGAGCCACCTGGGTCATTGTGAGCAGTTCTCCTGCAATCCATCCCCAACCAGCCTTTAGTTATCTCAGGAGAGGTCCTGGGCTCAGGCCTCAGACCCTGCTCCCCCTCCCGCCAGTCAGCTTGTGGTGGTGAGGGGGAGACCCTGATTACCTGTAGAAAACTCCATGTGTGACTCCTGCTGGAAACTGCCTCCAGTCAGGGAGTAGCCATTCAGGGCTTCCCCACTTTCTCCAGCCAGAGCCCAGTAAATGGGGGCAATGGTGACCACGAGCACCCGCATCAGAGGCCCTGGGATAGGGCAGAATACAGAGGCCAGGTTAGAACTGAAGCCTCAGAGTGGTAACTCCCCTGCTCAAGAATCCTCCGTGGCTCCCCATAGCTCCAGTCTTTTTCCCTCCTTCTTGTGACTAGGTCTTATGACTACTTGTGCCATTTATTTAACTAGAACCTGGGAGATGGCAAAGTCAAACATATACTTCATGGAGCAATTGTGAAAACAAAATAAGTGTATACAAAGACATGCGTGGCACTTGTTGGTGCTTAACTAGGTTCAGCAAACACAGATCGAGGGCTGCTTGTCACCATGGCTCCTGTTACTACAATGTGTTGAAGACCAACCATGTTTTCTAAATTGCACACAACTTCTAGATAGCGTCCAAGACAGAAAGGAGTATTCTGGAGTCACTGACTGCCCTGGGTGTGGATTCTTAGACCCTCACATGATGTTTGGACCCCTTGGACCCAGGGAAGCACTGCCCACTCTGGATTTGCTGGGGGTCAGGAACAAACACAGCAGGTGATGGGAGGAAGCTGGGTCCCCTGGGGATGGGCGGAATCTTCCCAACTGCACTTCTGTCTCTACTAACCACCTCTCACCTGGCCTGAGTCCAGGGATTTCTCCCTAACCACACCCAAGCAGCAGCTTGCTTCCTTTGTTCTCTGCTGACAGTGACTCTAGGCCAAAGTCCCCTGATGCCCACTGGGATCACACAAAGTCCCCTGACCCCCACTGGGATCACACAAAGTCCCCTGACCCCCACTGGGATCACACAAAGTCCCCTGACGCCCACTGGGATCAGACAAAGTCCCCTGACCCCCACTGGGATCTCACAAAGTCCCTTGTCACAGTGGCCCTTTCCCTACACGGGGTCCCTGGGAGGGGATGAGGGTCCCCTGGGCAGGTTTGTGGTGATAGTCTGTGGGTCACACGTTCTCTGCTCAGGGCGCCCTGCTTCCCAAATCTGTGAGCAGATGGACACTTCCCCTTCTTTAGCTCATTTTTTCTGCACCTTTCCTCCCATATGTCCCCTCCATCATTTGTGGAGATTCTTCACTTTCCCATCAGCCTCAATGGACACAGCCTTCCCATATCAGTGAGTGATATCACCCATCGCTCACTTCACTCTCTCTCTCTCTCTGATGTCAAACACAGTGACTTTGTTTGATGAGCGTGGTAGGGGTTGGGGTGTGAGGAGGGGCTTTGAGCAAGGGAGAGACTCAGCTTTCAGAGGCAAAAAAACCCATCTCTGGGTATCAGGTTCTGAGCAAGTCTTGAAACAAACAGCTTTTGCCATCCTGTGGGTCCAGCATGGGTCCTGGGATTCCTGTGGGTTGGGGGCCCCACTTACCTAAACTTGCTGGGACGTGGCTGATGGTGCTCCGGATGGTGGTGACCCCAGAACTGTCCTCTTGTTGCACACTGGTGTTGAGGCTAGCCATGCCAAATTCCTGGCCATTGATTACCCCTGTCATGCTACCCAGGCTCCCCCAGGGCTCCCCTGGGAAGCAGGAAATAAACAATAGTGACAGAGGTAAAGTAATTGTCCAAGAACAAACAGCTAATGGGTGATAGACTCAGTGCATGGGGATCCTGGCTCCAAAGTAAAAGAGATTCATGAGGCTGGGGAGGTGGTTTGGTCAGAAAGTGTTTGCATACTGAGTTTTATGCCCAGAACCCTACATCAAAATGTTGGACATGGTGACACATGCTTGTAATCCTGACACTGGGGAGGCAGAGACTGATGGATCATTGAGGTTTACTAAGTAGCCGGTCTAGCCCAGCAGGTGAGCACCAGATCCAGTGATAGACTCTGTCTCAAAAACAAGGTAGACAGCTTGTGGAGGACCAGATGAGGCTGTTTTCTAGCATCCATATACACATACAAACGCATGCATGTGTATGTACGTACGTGTACACACACACACATACACACACACACACACACACACACACACATAGCTGGGTAAGTCAGGTCTTTACGCCACACCGAGTTGGTTTGTCTATAAAATTAGGAGGTGGGTCCATAGACACACAGAGGACCTGTTGGCCTAGGGAGCTGTGATGCCAGGGGCTGGCTTGATGAGGGGCAGGGCACCATGCCAAGAACTGAGTGACGTCACTCAAGCATCCTCATTCCACCAGTAGCCCTGGCTCCAGTGGCCTGCAGCTGGCCTGGCCGGGCTGGGCTGGTTGCCCAGTGGCCGCCAGGCAGTCGGAGCAGACGCTCTCTTGCACGAATTCAATGGACCTCACAGGCCCAGGGGGCCTCTTCTTCCTCTGCCTAATGAGCCAGCCGCCTGCTTTGGACAGATGGCATCCAGGGGGCACAAGACAGAGGGAGCCTGGTTTTCCCGTCACCAGCTCTCAGGGGAAATTAAAAATGAATTGCCAATGACCTGTCAGAAATATAAAAAACAGAGCATTCCACAGCCAGGATCCTGAATGGGCCATCGGGGCTGGCCAATGCTGGGTTTGAGGAAGTGCAGCACTCGGCTGGGGTTTGATGAGATTTGATGCCCATCTGGGATGTTTTTCATCCGTATCTGCTTTGCATCAGGGGATGGGGAGGGAGCTGGTAGCTGCGAGGAGAGAGGCAGGAGCATGACCAAGAGGTCCGGAGACAACAGGAACTCAGAGCCTTGGATGGCAGACCACTGTAAACTGCTCAATAGCCTCTTGAACCCCACAGTCAGGCTAACAGGGAGGGAGGAATGAAGGTGGCAGAGAGGAGAGATAGATTTGAAGTCTGGGGCTGCAAAAACCTTGAACTCCAGCGGGGGGCAGAGCTCAGGGACAGAACACTTGCCTAGCATATGCAAGGTCCTGGGTTCTATCCCCAGTGCTACAAAACCAAATAAAACCCAAAACGGGGGTTGGGGAGATGGCTCAGCAGGTAGAATGCCCGCTGCGCAAGCATGAGGACCCGTGTTCAGATCCCCAGCATTTACATAAAAGCTGGGCGTGGTGGTGCATGTCTTTAACCCTAGTACTACAGGGGGCAAAGACAGGTGGATTCCCAGAGTTTGCTGGCGATACAGCCTAGGCAATCTGTGAGCTCTGGGTTCAATGAAAGACCTTGTCTCAAAAAGTAAGCAATAGGGGCTGGAGAGATGGCTCAGCAGTTAAGAGCACTGGCTGCTTTTGCAGAGGACCTGGGTTCAAGTCCCAGCACCCACATGGTGGCTAGCAACTGTCCATAACTCCAGTTCCAGGAAATCCAACGCCCTCTTCTGATCCCCGCAGGGACTGCATGACATGGGTGCACTTACATAGATGTAGACAATACACTCATACATATAAAATAAGAATGATTAAAATATTTTAAAAAATAAGCAATCAAGGAAGATACCTGATACAAGCTTATGTTCCTTCACCTACTCATGCACACACGTGTATGTATCTGTATATACACAAACATACACATACGCTACACACAACCAAAATAAATAAATAAATAAACCCTAAATAAAAACAAGCCAAGCAAAAGAACTTCGAAATTCTTTTACAGAGCAAAACTTCTTTTTTAAAAAAGTTTTTAATCTTTATTTTATGTGTATGAGTGTTATACCTGCATGTATGTAAGTGCACCCATGTCATACAGTGCCCTCGGAGGACCGAAGAGGGCATTGGATCTCTTGGAACTGGAGCTATGGACAGTTGTTAGCTGCCCTGTGGGTGCTGGGAATCGAACCTGGGTCCTCTGCAAGAGCAGCCAGTGCTTTTAACTGCTGAGTCATCTCTGTAGCCCCCATAGCAAAACTTCTTGAAGGAACTTGTCCTAGGGAAATACTGAGTCCATTACATAGTGTGTCTACTTTGTGGACGTGAGAAGGAGGCTGGAAAAAGAAGCTGTTGCTTATCCATCACAGCCCAGAAGAGTGAGAGGAAACATCCCATGCATTGAAATGAAGCCCCAAAGATATGTCGCCAGGCAGCTCATCATGGGATGTTGTCAAGACAGATAAGAAAAAGTGGCGTTTGAAAGACAGCTTGTAAATTTGACCTCTTATAAAAAGAAAGGGTGTATCATTTTTACATTCCAAGAAAATAAAATTGGAGCCAGGCATGGTGGCTCTCGCCTGTAAGCCCAGCACTGGGGAGGCTGGAGCAGGATTGCCATGAGTTCTAGACCAACCTGGCTACAGAGTGAGATTGTCGCAAAACAAGGCAAGACAGAATGAAACCGAGCCGAAAACAACGGAACTAAACTCACAAGAATTACTTAAACTTGAAGGAGAGAGCTGACTTTACAAAACTGTTCTCTGACCTCTACACATACACTGTGCCATGAGCCCTCTACCCACCACCAGCACGCACGCACACACACACAAACACACACACACACACCCCATCCCATATAACCATAAATAATAATAATGAGGAGGAGGAGGAGGAGGAGGAGGAGGAGGAGGAGGAGGAGGAGGAATTACTTAAGTACTTTCTGGTAATTGAATTATAAGAAAAATCATTTTCAGATTTAGATATCTATATTATCTTGTCTTTCTGGAATGAGCATGTGTGAAGAAAAAATATCAGTTTCCATTAAATAAGGAATTGCTCTAAGCCCTCTGTTCCCATTCTTTTTTAAAAAATATATTTATTATTTTTATTTTTATATGTATGAGTGTATTGCCTGCATGTATGTGAGTGCACCCGTGTTATGCAATGCCACGGAGGTCAGAAGAGGGCTTCAGATTCCCCTGGAACTGGAGTTAAGGATGGTTTGTAGTGGCCATGTGGGTGCCGGGAATTGAACCCCGGTCCTCTGCAAGAGCAGTCAGTGCTCTTAACCGCTGAGCCATCTCTCCAGCCCCCTCTGTCCCCATTCTTACATTGAAGTTTTTTGTTTGTCTGTTTTTTGTTTGTTTTTGAGATAGGGTGTCCCTGTAGCCCCAGCTGGCCTGAAACTCACTATGTAGAACAGGCTGGCGTCCATCTCACAGAGATCTGTCTCCCAAGTGCTTGGGTTAAAGCTGTGCATCATCATGCTTAATGTTCACGCTGAAGTTTTAACTCTAGGACCTCAGGGTGGGATCTCATTTAGAGGTGAGATTTTTACAGAAGAAACCTCATAGAAATGAGGTCATCATGGTGAGCCCTGATCCAGTATGCTGGTAGCCTAATAAAAAAGATTAGAAACACACAAGGAAATCTCTGTGTGATAATAAAGGCCGAGACTGGGTGAGGCTTCTACCAGCCAAGGAATGCCAGAGACAGCCAGAAGATACCAGAAGATGGGGCAGATTCTCCCACACAGTCTCAGATAGAACCAGCCCTTCCAACCGCTTTGATCTTGGACTTTCAGCCTCCGGAACCACAAGACATTGCCAGTTGCTTAAGTTCCAGTCTGCAGGACTTTGTTAAGTCTGCCCCGGGGACTAACACAGAGATCGTGCCAGAGTTGTATATTTTGAACTGGGGGTTTGTCACCAGAGAAAGAGCTGGACCAGGCTCTGAAACAGAGAGTGAAAACCACTGAGCCTTCTGGGCACATTTGCTGGCAACCTGCCCCTGCTCACAAATGAGGGAGTCAGGGCCAGAAAGGCTCCCACATTGGGTGGCCAGTGCCAAATCCCAATTTCAATTTCTTTTTAAAAATTTTTATTTGTCTATTTTGTCTTTTTAAAATATTTTACTTATTATTTTTATTTTATGTATATAAGTGTATTGCTTGCATGTAGGTAGATGCGCCCATGTCATGCAGTGCCCATGGAGGTCAGAAGAGGGCATTGGATCCCCTGGAACTGGACTTACAGATGGTTGTTAGCTGCCATGTGGATGCTGGGAACTGAACCTGGGTTCTCTGCAAGAGCAGCTAGTGCTCTTAATCACTAGGCTATCTCCCCAGCCCCTATTTTGTCTTTTGAGACAAGCACTCCCTGTAGCTTCAGCTGACCTGGAACTCACTATGTAGACCAGGCTGGCTTCAATCTCACAGAGATAGACCTGCCTCCACCTCTCGAGTGCTGGAATTAAAGGTGTGCACCATCATGCCCATATCTTATTTATTTTTATTTTGTGTGTATAAGTGTTTTGCCTGAATGTATATAAGTATGCCATGTGCATGAAGTGACTATGGAGGCCAGAAGAGGGTGTTGGAGCCCCTGGAACTGGAGTTACAGATGGTTGTTAGCAGCTATGTGGATTGTGGGAACTGAATCCGGGTCCTCTGCAAGAGCAGCCAGTGCTCTTATCTACCGAGGCATCTCTCTAACTCCCTAATTCCAAATTTTCAAGAAGGGCTGTTTGGAGAAGGGATCTATGGAGAGAGATTTTGACACTGTGGAGATAGATTGGTGATGTCTGCCATGGACAGAACTGGAGAAAGGTTCTATATTGAGAGATTCTGACATTGTGTGTAAAAATAGATTGGTGATGTCTGCTATGGAGATTGCTAAGGCATGGTTCTATGGAGACATTGACACTATGGCGATTCTGACACTTTATATGGAGATAGATTGGTGATGTCTGCCATGGACAGGGCTTCAGAAGGGTTCTATGGAGAGAGATTCTGATACCCTGTATGGAGATAGATTGGTGATGTCTGCCATGGAAAGAAGAGGAGCTACAAAGCCACTCACATGGGATATTTAGTGCAGAGGCAGAGAATGCAGAAATACTCTGTGACTTTCCTTTCTGTAAGTCTGAATCATTTTACTGTGGTTTCTCAGGACAGCAATTTTCAGTGTTAATGTTTAGCCTGACCCTCAGGAAAAGGGTGCTGATTAAGGAATCCCCACACAGCAGGGGCCAGTAACAGCACAAAGGGCACCACGGGCACTTGTATTTCATTCTGCCTACTCCATGGGGTTATGGGAATTCCGGATGGAAGAAACAAGCCAATACCAGATGACCCAGAACAGCCAGGTTCCCTAGCTGAGGTGAGAGGCAAACGTTTAGTTCCTCCGTGACTCAGTTTACCCACCTGGACGTTAGTTAGTAGGGTAGAGCAGATGGCCTATGCAGTGTGCTCAGCTAGATCACTCATTACTAAGCAAAGGGTTGGGAAGCTGGCAGGAGAGTGTGCTAGGCCCGTCTAAATAAGACACCCTTCTGTGCAAGTGACCCTCTGTGGTCTCAGTCCAAAGACCGGGGCAGGGACATTCCTTACCTCGCACAGCCAGCGACGCCTTGGCTGTGGCAGAGCCCAGAAAGTTGTGAGCTACACACTCATAAGCTCCAGCATCTCCAGCTTCCACACGCTCCAGCCATAGGCTCCCGTCTGGCAGGGTCCGGAGCCGCCGGTCAGCCCGTAGAGGTCTACCTGCCCGTAGCCACTCAATGGTGGGTGCTGGCTCTCCAGTGGCCCGACACCGCAGCTCCACATCCTCCCCGGACCTCACAGTCTTGTCGTGAGGCTCCACCTGGAACATAGGGGCACCTGCGGGAGATGTCAGGAAGGTTTTAGGATCAGGTCATTAACATCCTCGTATATTCCGGGGATCCCTATTCATTTAGACATGTTAGTAAAAATGGAGGTGGAGAACATGAGAGTCACACACAATCCTGTCCCCCAGCTACTGGCCTCCACTGCTTTCCAGACATCCTTTCCTATGAGAGCACTGTTGTGTGTGCAAGGTGTCACTTGTTCCATGTTGAGTGACATGTGACCGTGACCCCGCAAGATTATATCACCCCACAGGCTGGGGAATGGCTTAGTGGGCAAGAGTGCTTTCTGTGCAAGTGTGAGGACCTGAGTTTGAATCCCCAGTATTCATGTGAAGAAAAAAAAGCTGGGTGTGGCTGCACACGCCTGTAACCCCATCCCTGTGTATGGGAAGCAGAGATGGGAATTGCTGGGGCCAGCTGAAAACTGTGAGCTTGGGCTGGTAAGACGTTTCAGTGTGCCTGCCACCAAGATTAATGACTTGCATTCAACCCCTGGGACCCATGTGGGGAAAGAAAAGAACCAACTAGCAAGAGTTTTCCTCTGAAATCCACATGTGTACTATGGCACACACATGCCCATACAGACATACACATACACCAAAATAAATAAAAATGCAATTTAAAAAATAAAAAAGCAACCAAAAAACTGCAAGTTCCAGGTTTACTGAGAGACTCTGTCTCAAGGGGGCGAGGCAGAGTTATAGAGAAGACCACATGACATCCTCCTCTGTTCTCTGCATACATGTACATCCATGTGCGCCTGCACATACATACGCCGCACAAACACATACACAAAGACTATTGCCAAGTGATCTTACAGCCGTCTTAGAATGTATAAACACACTCTGATAGTCCCACGATGAGGCGATTGCCTTAGAACTCCCTTCTCAGAATGTGTCACTGAGCAATGAGTGACGGTACGGTCACATCACGACATGCTGCAGTTTTCACTCTGTGGTCAGATCACAGTGCAACCTTCATCTTTAGGGCTGAATATTATCCCACTGCCTAGCTCCACTGTGATTCTATACAAAGTCACAGTCTCAGGACATTTAGGTTGTTTACCATGCAGAAGTGTCACTTTCTAGAGCCACCAGAGCTTGACATCCCCCCAGATGGATCTGGCACTGTCTTTTACTGTGAGTGGCTCTCCAGAGTTGCTCCCTGACCCTCTGTGTTCTCTGTAAGATGGGCTGATGGCTCCTGTCCACTCCTGCATCCTGTCAGGGTGGCCAAATTGAAGCAGATAGGAACTACCTGGTGTGGTGGGGACGGGAACTACCAGAACTTGCATGCTGTGGTGGAAGTCTACAGAGGTGTTGTGGAAAACCTTTTGCCAGTGAGCAAGCTTCTTCCAGCCTGGACCAAACTGCCACCCAGCTGGACTTTATTCTCTCACAGTTGCAGAGGCCAGACGTCTACAATAGGTGTCGCTGGCCTGCAAGGCCGCCCCTAGGGGCTCTGGACACCTTCTGCCTCTTCAACCCCTGGGGACTGTGGCCTTCCTGGTCCAAGGCTGCATCTTACCGTCCTCCAGTGCCTCACCTACTGCCTCCTTTTCCTGTGTCTGTCTAATCCTCACCCTGCCTCTCAGGCCTGCAACCTCAGGGGCCTCTAAGGTACTCTAAGCCAACCTCTGAATCTCATTGTTAGGCCGATCTCACTGCACTCCCAGGGTAGTTCTGTCTGTAGGAGACCTACATAGCCAGTTCTCCAAAAGCTGAGCATGTGTGTGCTGCGTGAATTCACGACTCAGTTTTGGGACTCATTAGAACAGAAACGTAGGTGTGTGTTCACCCAAAGACATGTGGGAGGCTCTCCTAACCACGCTGCTCGAACCCCCTCCCCTCACCCAGAATGGAATGGAACCCAGGGGAATATATAAACAATCACATAGCAGAGAACCATACAGCCATGAGAACAAAGCCATAGATTTCTGCACTGTGGACAGATGTCAGTGTGTGTGTAAGCAACTGAACACTAGCACTTGGGGCATGATTCCAATGAAAGCTTCTTTGAGTTTGTGGCGGGACTAGAAATAGGACTGGGTATATAACCCACGGCCACATACACAGCAGGCAAGCGTTGCACTGTTGAGCCAGGCCCAGCACTGGGAGTCCATTTAAATAAAGGTCAGGGACTGGGGAGATGGTTCAGTGGATAAAGCACTTGCCCTATAAGCATGAGGACCTGAGTTCAGATCCCCAGAATCCACATAGCACTGGATGTGTAACATGAACCCGCAACTCCACTGCTCCTGTGGGGTGATAGGACACACAGGGAATTCACTGGAAGGTTGGGGGCCAGCTCGCTTGGCATACGCAGTGACAAACAAGAGACACTGCCTCAAACAAGGTGGACGGTGAGGACTGCTACCTGAAGCTTCCCTATGACTCACCTGCACTGTGGCACATATGTGTGTGCATTGGCACACGCCAACACACCAAGGTAAATAAAGGCAAATGCAAACAGGACATCCAGCTTCGGGACAAGAGGATTAGCAGTTTAAGGCCATCCTTGGCTACACAGTGAGTTTTGAGAGACCCTTCTAGAAAGAAGAAAGAAAAGAAAGAAAGAAAGAAAGAAAGAAAGAAAGAAAGAGCATTGAAGTGACCCCTGTCATTTTTTTTTTTTTTAGTCTTTT